GACTAGGCCTCGGCAGCTTATGGCTAAAAGATTCTTTCAACTTTTCTCAAGATTGTCTTAGCTACTGTTGACATTTTCTGTTTTCTTATGAATTTTACAGTCAGTTTAAAAAACTGAACCTATTCAAATTTGATTTTCTAAATTGAAATTATTTTGACTCTAAAAGGTTGAAGTCTTTACTAGATTGAAGTGTCCACTCGGGACAGCTGTGAAATAATGTGATTATTGGAAGTTTGCACTCCAGGATCCCATTTGCAATGAAGGGTCCTATATGTGTGTCTGCAAGTGGGTACTGGTAATATATATCATGTCCTATAATAATGGACAAAGTACTAGAGCTCACCAGCTGGGCATGTGGTACACACCTCTAACCCCAGCATGGGGGAAGCAGAGGCTGGTGGATATTTGTGAGTTCGAGGCCAGCCTGGTCTACAAAGGAAGTTTTCCAGGACAGCTAGAACTGTTACACAGAGAAACCCTGTTTTGAAACACCCCCCAAACACACACAGTATACCACTCAGCAACAACACAGCTACCTTAGTTTATGCTGGGTTTGCATAATCATGAAATTTCCTAGCAAAGTTTCTGAGTATGTATCCTATCCATTATGGGATGCATGACATAGTCCACTGTGAGCTTTCCACCTTGACACAATTTTAAACTAAGTATCACCTGTAGTCTCCTCCTCAGAAGTATCTTAGCTCTCACATTACGGTTGATCATGACCTAGTCTAACATTTAATCATTCATTTCTGTCCTGGCCTGCACTGGGCTCTGCTGGACGGTTACCATCTACAACAAACCTAGTATCTTTACCAAATGGAATATGGGAAAGTGCTGGAATAGCAGAGTTCCAATGAGTATTTCCCCTAAGATTTATTTATATCATTGGGGACTGCTGTCTTCCAGGCTGTGAACGGAACCAGCCATACAGTCCTGGGTCCGACCCTGAGGGGGAGTGTGGACTCGGGGAAGCTAATTACCCAACGACGTTAGAGAGACCAGAGACAGGAACAACAGGTCATCTCAGGAGGGCTCCCAGAGGGTCCGAGCAGCCACGGTTTATTGAAGTATCGCCTTAAGTAGCTTTCCAAAAGCAAGGGTAACGGCAGCAGACATCTATTATCATGCATATACAGCTGACTAGGAAGTATGTCCTTTAATCCTAGGGCTGTGCTAGTAGAATGCACGTACACAAGCCCTCAGACGCTCCAAACACAGTCTCACTAGTCCTCAGGTATGCCTTGCTGGCCCCCAGGGACATCCCACTAGCCCCCATGATGAGTGTGGGGCCTAGGCCTATTGTTACCCAAACTAGAATCATTCTCCACTGTGGCCAGGCCTTCAGGAGGTAACCAGCCAACATCTAAAAGACAATAGGAGATTGGAGCTCCTGGAATTGGGCTGAGGTCTAATACCAAAATATTATATTCAGGCCCTGGCATAATATACCATAACTAAATAATTAGAATATTTGCTCTTGTCTTATTTTCAATAAATTGTGGTGGCAGTGATCATTCCCAGCGGCTGTGTATGCTCGGGAAATGCTCAAACACACACACACACACACACACATCCTCTCCTCTCTCTCCAGCCTATAAATTATTTTAAATTTTGTGTGTTGACCTAGGGTCTCACTATGTAGCCCCAACTGGCCTCAAACTCACAGAGATCCTCTGCCTCCTTAGATCAGGGATTAAAGTTGTGCACACCACACTCGGCTTGTCTTAAATTCTCATAAAAATAAAACAGGAAATCACTCGCAGGAGAACAATCTTATGTCCTGGAAAGAGAAAAATATTAGCTCCGATTTGGTACTGTCACTACAGCTGCCTGGTTCTGTGTCCTTCAACAAGTGAGCTAAGGATTGATGTAGCTGGTGCGTGTGACCATTTCCTTCCCTGTCTTCAGGCCCAGCTCCCAGATGAGCATGCTGAGGAGAACTAGACAGGCCAAGAAGCAGAATGCAAGCTGGGAGCCACACAATGTGCTCAGGAAATGCCTGCTGAAGGCTAGCCAAATGTGCGTTCCCAACACCACTATAAACCCTGCTTCCTTTCTTAACTGCAGTCTATCTGGCTTCGCAAAACCAGAAGTGTGATTAGTTTCAATTTGACAGGCATATCTGAATTCTACTTTAAAGAAAAGAGAAAACCCAAAAGACAATTTAGAGTTTGTGTTAGTTAGGGTTTCTACTGCTGCAATAAAACACCATGACCAAGAAGCAAGTCGGGAAGGGAAGGGTTTATTCGGCTTACACTTCAGCATTGCAGCTCACCTCTGAAGGCAGTCAGGACAGGAGTCAAAAACAAGGCAGGATCCTGGAGGCAGGAGCTGAGACATGGAGGGGCACTGCTCACTGGCTTGCTCCCCATGGCTTTCGTGGCCCACTTTCTTACAGAACTCAGAACCAGCAGCCCAGGGATGGCATCACCCACCAAGGGCTGGACCCTCCCCCACTGATCACTAATTGAGAAAACGCCTTACATCTGGATCTCATGGAGACATTTCCTCAACTGAGGCTCCTTCCTCTCCGATGACTCAAGCTTGGGTACTGGGTCAGAGACGATTAGTTTAAAAGTAATTCCCCGGGGCATAGAAGTTATAGTATTTTCACTTTTGACCCCCTGTCCTCTTACTAGAATTAGCATCTTCCACTGAAAGGAAATATGTAATACCTTGTTGGAAGGGGTGGGGGTTAGGGGAAGGAAGCTGGAGTGCTTGTTTTTCATTGTTCCCTCAACCCAAGGAAGCCAGGGAACTCTAGTAAATTTCCTCTTGACAGCCAAGAGTCCTTGTTTTTCTTTGCTTGACAGGGCTTAACTGATGGATATACAGAGAAAAACATAAGTTTTATACACCTCACCTTTTTGGGGGGGGGATTCGAGACAGGGTTTCTGTGTGTGACTTTGTAGACCAGGCTGGCCTCGAACTCACAGAGATTCACCTGCCCCTGTCTCCCCAATGCTGGGATTAAAGGTGAGCGCCAACACCACCCAGCCCACACATCACTTTTAAAGTACTTTAATCTCAGAACTTGCATATCTTTATATAGAATGGGTGTGAGGCCAGCCTGGTCTACATAGCCAGTTCCAGACTAGCTTGAGCTACACAATGAGATCTTGGCAAAAAAAAAAAAAGCAAGCTACCAAAAGGTGTCTGCATCATTAATGACAGTGTTATCTGTGAACATGGGTATTCTTTTTTTTTTTTTTTTTTTGGTTTTTTGAGACAGGGTTTCTCTGTATTGTTTTGGAGGCTGCCCTGGAACTCACTCTGTAGACCAGGCTGGCCTCGAACTCACAGAGATCCGCCTGCCTCTGCCTCCCGAGGGCTGGGATTAAAGGCGTGCGCCACCAACGCCCGGCCTGAACATGGGTATTCTATGTACACTGTTTGGCTGTCAGTGTGGGTACAGGCACCACTGTTGTTAGGTGGCAAGCTAGGTGTGCATTATAGTTTGTACCTCGATTATATCTTACTCTCTATTTTTATATGCTACCTCTCTCTCCTACCACATTAATACTTCAGTGTTTTGGGACCCTTTTCTCCACATGGCTCTACTCCTTTGACTTTAATTACACTTGGGGCATAATGAGAGCAGCTGACTTAATCCCTGAAGTTCCACACGTAAGGCTGTGTCATTCTCCCGCTGAGTTTGCTTTCCTTTGGGAACGCTGTCATAGCCACGAGGCTATTCCCCAACTATGCACCCAGCGTTAGCAAAGAGACCAGATCTGAAAAGGTGACAACCGTATGAGGATATTACAACAACCCAGAGAAACAACAAAGGGGTCTTGAGTCAGGATGGTGACCGTGGGGACAAAACACTGTAAAGGCAATATAGACATGACTCGGCTGCAAAATCGGCTGTGAAAAGAAGAAACAAACTAATGTTTTGAGCTTCGGGTAGCACTGGGTTGAGATTCTTTTTCTGATTCTTATTTGTTTGGGACATGCACAGTCCACCTCTAAAACCTTCGCAATGTTGCAACTCATTTTCTCTAACCCTCAAAAACGCATCCTCTGTAACAAATACCCACCGGAAGAGGCTTCGGTAAAAGATGAAACCGTGGCCAGTGTCGCAGCAAGCAGGAGAGAGACGCGAGTAGGGAGGGCGATAAAACAAAAACAACCCAAGACTGCAATTCGGACACCGGGTGGGGGTGCAGTCTCCCACTACAAATACCTTCACCCAAAGGGGTTCTGCCCGAGTCTGCTAAGTCTGCTTACAGACCTCCTCCCTGCGCGGGGCGGGGCTGGGCGGGGGTCTATTTCGGAGCCTTGCTGTAAACTAGAATAAAGCACGAGGCGCTCCAGGAGCCAATTCACCCGCGCCCCTTGTTTGCCGTTTAGTGTTCCTTAAACCAAAACAGGTTAAGTCTAACAGTGGAGTCTCTGACCTCACACACTCCGACCCTAACACTCCTCACTCGCTGGAGGAGGAACCGAGTGACGACAGCCGGTCTCCTCCGCTCCCATTAAGGATCATGCAGAAGCGCTCACCCCAAGGACGAGCGTAAACCCGAGGACGCGGAGAGGCCGCGGTCCGCGCTCTTAAGCCAGGCTCCTGAGCCATGGAGAATAAAACGTGCTCACGACTGTCCTCGGTTCCGTCCACGCGGACACCGAGGGGAGCGGTGCTTTTCTCCCCCGGGCCAGTGTCCGTTCCGAGTCCGGCGGGAGGCAGGCAGGCGGGGCGGCGTCCCCGGCTCTTCCTCTCCGCGTCCGGACGCCGCCGCGAGCGCCCGGGATGCTCACCGGCTCCAGAAGCCTCTACCAGGCGCAGGAGCGCCGCGGCCCTCGGCAGGTGCACGCCCACGCTGAGAGCCAGCCAGCCCGGCGAGCGCGCGGCGGCCCCGCCCCCGGCCCCGCCCCCCGCGGCGCGGCCCAGCGGGCGGGAGCCATGGCAACCGGCCGAGGCCGGCGGGGTCGCGCGCGCTGACGCCCGAGCGGGGCGCGCCCGATTGTGACGCACGGCTTCCGCGTTCTGGAGCGGCCGCCGGGGCGGGGGCGGGCGCAGCCTCCCGGCCTCGCAACGGCAGCAACGGCCGAGGCGGGCGGGGTCAAGATGGTGGCTCCGCTGGCGGGGGAGGCGCTGGAGGGAGGAGGAGCCAGACCCTAGCCGGCCGGAAACACCGACGCCCCGAGGCCTCCCGGGAGCCGCCGCCGCCGCCGCCGCCGCCGCTGCCGCCGCCGCCGCTCCCGGCTCCACCGAGGGACGCGAGCGAGCGAGCCAGCGGGCGGGGGGCGGGGCGGGCGGGCGGAGGGCGGGGACACAGGACAGGAGGCGGGCGGGGGCGGAGCCACTCTCCTGGGCGCCCGCCCCGCCCCGCCCCGGCCCGCCCCGGCCCGGCCGCGGCCCCGGGCCTCCCCCGCGCCACCCCGCCCGCCCGGCCCGCCCAGCCCCGGTGCGGCAGCGGCTGATGGCGGCGGTGGGGCCCCCGCAGCAGCAGCAGCGGCAGCAGCGGCGGCAGCAGCAGCAGCAGCAGCAGGTGCGGATGGCCCGGCAGCAGGTCTGGGCGGCGCTGGAAGTGGCGCTCCGGGTGCCCTGCCTCTACATCATCGACGCCATCTTCAACTCGTACTACGACTCCAGCCAGAGCCGGCTCTGCCTCGGGCTCCAGATCGTCCTCCGGCTCCTGGGTAAGGGCGGCGGCCGGGCACGGCTGGCACGCGCCCGGGGCCGCCCACCGCGCCGCGGGCTCCCGTCGGGGCCTTTGGGCGGGCACCCGGGGCACGCGTGCCGGCGTTGACAGCGGCGCGGGCATGGGGTGGGGAGGGCGCTCGCACGCGGCTCCCCGCCCGCCCTCTCCCGGGGGGACGACGGCCTGCCCGCTGCTGGCTCGCCGCGCGCGTCCTCTGCAGCCGTCCCGGTGTCGCCGCCGTGGGTGACCTTGCCTGGCCTCGAGCCAAGGCTGGAGTCCGCCCCCCCCCCCCCGCCGACTGCGTGGACGTGGGCCGCGGCTTGGGGTCGCTGAATGTCAGCTCCCGGAACCGTTGCCAGAAGTCACCCCAAAGTGTCTCCGGGAGCAAACAGGAAGGTGGTGGTTGAGTGGGACTCTGCACAGCCGCCCCCCGGGTGACGAGACCTTTGCAGGAGACTCGGGAACGCGAGTCTTGGCCTCCTGTGCACCGAGGACCGAGAGCGTTTTATATTTCACTTTCTATTCCTCTCCGCACCGCGCGGCCGGAGCGAGGAACACCGCGTATGGTGTTTTCCCTTCTAGTAGTCGGTCTGGCGCGTTTCGTTGCCGCGGTGTTGTTGAGATGAGTTTGCAGTGTTGCCAAGGGGCAGGCTGGCAGGGAGGTTGTCACCAGGACTGTCGGAAGGCCAGGCGGCTGTTACCTGTGCCCCCAGGAAGGAGAGTTCTGCTCCTGGCTGTGAGGGACACTTTGTCTGCTAGCTCACTTTTGCAGAGCAGTCACACGGGCAATTTCCTGACCTGTCAGTCACCCTTGAGCGGTGGGCACTGTTCTCACGTGCCCAGGGAGGAAGCGAGGTTGGAGACGCCGAGTGTTTGAGATCTGCAGCGCAGCTGCTAAGCGGCTGCCGGAGCCCCCAGAAACTCCCCTGACACGGGGTGGGGTTTACTTTCTCCCCCGGCGGGTTGAGCAGTAGTGCAGAGCGGTGTGTCACCCATCGGTGCTCGTCGGAACTTTAGAAAGAATGGAAATGGTGTTCTGTGAGCACAGGGCCGATGAGTAATCCGCTGGCTACACAGGCCAGGCTGCTCTTCTCTGACACAGTTAGAGCCACCATGCCCGGTGCTAAGTTAGCGCTGTGTGTGAGGAGCCTGCACTTTCGTTCCAGAGATAGGCTAGCCGCTGCCGGTGCCCATGAGTAGCCACCACTAGGTAGGTAAGTCATCTGTGGTAGACCGTTTAGGAAAGCAGCCGTTCCATTGCCCGTTCTCCGCACCTTTTCTCCTTCATGGACTCGGCATTTGGGAATTTAAGTAAGAACCGATGGTGATCCATCTGTCTCTTCGGTGCTTGGTTTTATCTTTTGTAAAGATGGACAACGATGGTATTGTCAACACAGATGCACAACTCTCACCTCAAATGGGATAAGAGATAGCTTATCCTGGAACTAAATATATGAGTGACAGTGGTGGCCCAGGAGCACTGATAGAGGTCACCCCAAATAACAAAACAGTGTCATTAGTGAAAACAGTCAGTAGTTGGGTCAAAGCAAACCCGAGACTCTTGTGTCTGCTCCAGGCCCAGCATGCTATCTGAGGACACACCAGGCCTGTGGTTGTTGGGAACGAGGGCTTTAGGTTGATATATTCCAAACAGTACTTTATCTGTTAGTCACTGGATGCTAGGTCTTACTCTGACTTGGGCAAGGAGTGACTATTGAAAGCCTAAAGATAGTCTTAAGATAATTTGAAATTAGGCTCTAGACCTGCAACATCCCAACCTCTCCAGAGTCACTGGAGCTCTGGTGGCTCAGCCTTGCAGAAGGGTCAGTCTGAAGGCACAGCTGCTTTTGGGGAACTTTGTTCACAGTAGCTCTACCCCAGAGTTTAGGACGAATAACCCTTTAAAACAGCATTTGGCTGTTCATATGATCACTTTTCAAAAAATGTTTAGTGCTTCGAGACTACTTTGTTACAGGTATTTCATCCTTTTGAAATCACCAAATATTTATTTGGAAAATTTTATTCCAGGATATTGAGTCAGATTTTACGAGCAATTAAAACTCAACTTCTGAATTTGTCATCTACTTATTCCTAAATTGTAGTAGAATAGTTGTGCTAATATTTTGTTTGTAATAAAAAAATGTGCTTGGTGGTGGTGATGCATACCTTTAATCCCAGCACTCAGGAGACAGAGGCAGGCGGATCTACAGAGTGAGTCCCAGGACAGTCTCGAAAAACCAAAATAAATAAATAAAATAAAAATGCAGAAATTAGTTTTGATGATTGAAAACAGATGATCTTAAGTGACAGTTGTGTCGTGTGTGTGTGAAAGGTCTGCGTGGATACTAACTGGGGACCTCCGTTATTACCACAGTTCTGCTCCATACTGCCCAGCGCACCCTTTGCAAACATTACAAATTTATGTGTCTGCAGCCTTTACCCTCTCGGTTCAGCAGCTGCACGCTGATTTGATGCCAAACCAGTTTGAGATTTCAAAAGGTCAGAAGGTAAAGTCCTTCATTTTAGAGATATAAAAAAAGCATAACTATGTACAATGCTTTGGGACACAAAACTATTTCTTAGGAAGTATTAAAATATTAAGTGAAACTCCTCACAGTAACATAATGCTGAATTAGCAAATTTAAACATAATAGAGAAGATGCAAGCATAGGAGCTTGTTTTAATAGTATTACTCATGGTGGTAATTCATTGAAGTGGCAAAGGATTTTCTAAACATAAAAAGAAAACTCAGAATTACAAGAGATAATAAGTTTGAGTTTTAAAAATGAAAAGCTTCTTTACTGCAAATCTTTTAAAAAGGACAGAGGAAAATGTTTATAGCATGTATGGTAAGACCTTAAAAAATAACCTTCCGTAGTAAAGTGTGTATACACACACACACACACACACACACACACACACACACACACACAATGAAATAGTTCCTAGCCTTACTTACAATGATTAAAAGTTTATCTGTTAGATTGATGAAGAATGCAAAGTGTGATTGATAAGTATTTGCAAGCAGGTTTATCCATTTGAAATGCATAGCTTTACTTTGGGAAGCCGTCACCTACCTGTGTGCAAACCATTTGGCATTATCAGCTGATGCTGATTGATTGAGCAGGGTCCATTGTAGCCTAGGCTAACCCCAAATTGAAGCTAACCCGGAGCCTTTGATCCTCTTGCCTCCGCCTCCACGGGTGAGATTACAAGCGTGTACCACACTGCAGCTGGTTTTACAAGATGCCAGGAATGAAGCCAGCGGTCAAGCGTGCGTGTAGGCAAGTCTTCCTGCCTCCTGGGCTGTGTCCTTCAAGTGGCATTTACTATACACCTTTGACTCACAATTTCAGCACTGAAGACTTAAAGAGTTACACTGCACTATGTGCAGCGATCGTCATTAAGCACTGTTGAAAGTAACAAACAGCAAACTAGACTTATTCTAAATGTGTTAAATTAGATGGGAATCTGTTCACTTTGTTTGTTTTTTGGTTTTTCAAGACAGGGTTTCTCTGTCTCGAAAGCTTTGGAGGCTGTCGTGGAACTAACTCACTCTGTAGACCAGGCTGGTCTCGAACTCAGAGATTTGCCTGCCTCTGCCTCCCGAGTGCTGGGATTAAAGGTGTGAGCCACCACCGCCCGGCTGGAATCTTCATTGTAAAAGAATGAGATCATTGACTCGGTAGAAAAACCTGTGATGGAGAAGGCAAAAGGAAGCAGAAGTAATTGTGTCTGGTAGAGGACTACACTGAGGTTTCCCACGGCAGCTCTGTTGACATTTGGGACATCGTAAATATGGGGGTGGGGCACTATCTCTACAGAGGACAGTTTTTAGCATTCTTTGTCTTCTACCTACTAGATGTCAAAGCCAAGTATGTCCCTAGATTCTTCCAAATGCCCCCTAGGAGGGAGGGATCGAACCCTGGTTGAGGAATGGGCAACTAGACTAGGAATATAAAACACATAGCTCAGAAACACACCAGTATAAGAGAAGGTTGGTGGGTTTCAGAGGTGGAATTGAATTGCGGTCCATGGAAGTAACTATGGAGTGTTTAGTGATAATTTACTTAATAGGGAAAAATGGCTGCTTCCCTTTCTCTTGTCTGTATGAATACTCAATTTGTAGGAAGTAAAAGATTACAAATGGAATTTTAAAAATGGAAAACCGCTTATGATAAAAGAGTATCTAAAAGACAAAAGACTGGATGTAAACCTGGACATTACTTAATGGCCCACAAGTAACTTGTGTTCAGAATAGTTTTCATTGCACACAAATAGGAAGAACTCCCAGCACGGCACTGGCAGTCATTTTGCTGGGACAGACGCTGACGAAGGCTGGCCTGTAGGAGGGAAGAGCTCATTTGACTCCTCACCATGGTGCTTTCGGTCAGTCGATTGGAGGCTGTGGTGAAGCCAAGCCTATGACCAAAGGCCGCGGCACTGAGCTGCTTTCTCATGGCAGACAGGAAGGAGCCCAGATGTGTTTGTTAGACCTTTAAAGACATCCCTCTCAAAATCCCACCACTCCCACCCCGCCCCTGCGGGGTGGGGTGGGGTGCTACCTCCAGCTAGGATTAACCCGTTGTTGGAATTAGAGCTCTAATGATCCGGCCACCACTCTCACCACCTGCCAGGGACTAGTCTTCACGCATCCAGACTCTAACAAATGAATTCTTTAATCAGTCGTCTGGAAAAAACATTAAGGGATAAGTTATCATTTGAGGGGATAATTACCCTGATTACACATTGTTCATAGGAACATTTCCCGTAAGTACTAATATGTGTGAATTAAAAATAATATGGGGTCCAGATGGTGGTGGTGCACAGCTTTAATCCCAGCACTCAGGAGGCAGAGGCAGGAGGATCTCTGTGAGTTGAGGCCAGCCTGGTCTACAGAGCGAGTTCCAGGACAGTCAGAGAAACAGTCTCAAAAAGAAAAAAAAGGGGAAATCATGTTGGACTCTTACCCCATGTTCATGAAATCAGTTCTAAATAAGCTAATATTGAATGTAGTCCTATCTAGAAAAGAACTTACAGGAAGTGTCCTCAGAAACAAAGTATAAATACGGGTAGATTCGGTATTCAGTATTTAAAACCTCAAAAGGCACTACGGTGTGTAACCCTGTATGCGTGCATGTTGACACTTGTCAGGATGTATGAGGAGTTAAAGTTGGTTTACCTCTTTGGTGCCAGGCAGACAGTGATGATGGGAAAGGTCAACAGAGTGTGTTGGGGGTTGGATTTTCCCCACCGACAGCCAGTTGTGTGGCAAACTCTTCAGTGGGTACCAGTGCCGGTCCTGGAATTAATTCCGTTGAGTGCTGATACTCGATTTTCTAGGGTGAGAGGCCGTCACACGAGGCTGCCCCTCACTTGAGAGGCCAGTCCACAGGTGGTGTGGCCTGTGCGTCTTCCATGTTTTGTCTGTCCTTCAGGGTTTCCCTGAAGCCACACTTTGTGTTCCCTTCATTGCTAAAATGGCAGTCTGAGGAAATGGCTATTTGATTTGTCCGTTTATTACAAAGGAAGAGGTAGATGTACAGGGTACAATGAGGTGACTATGGAGAGTCTGAGCCCCATCAGGTTTCCAGCCTCAGGAACTTCAAGTTGGACTGGAGTCCTCAGAATTCAGCTCTGCCGGGGTTTCATTGTGCAAGCACGTGGGTTAAATCATCAGCCTGTGACTTAGCTACTCAGCTCTCCCTCTCCCTCCTCAGCAGCAGGGGTAGGAATGGTCCAAACCCTTGTCTAACAGTCAGTCTCCATCCTGAGGGTGTCCAGGAGCCCCCACCTGCCATTCACTGTGTTCCTACACAAGACAGTCTTACACTGTAGACTCACGGCTTTCAGAATTGGGAGTTTGGGATCTGACTGAGGCCAGACCGGTACTTGCAGTCTGGAAGCAGAGAAAGGTAGATCTGGGGCTCCGTAGACAGACTCTGTCTCCAGAAACCAAAACCACCACCTCTTCGGGTTTGGCTTTTTAAAATCCATGTTCATATATGTTAATAAAATAATATTTGTAAAAATTTTTAATGTTATGGATAAAACAACCTAGAAAACCATTCTTATTGTTGTTTTGCTTCACCTAAAATGAAAGTTTGATAGAATGTTGTTGTGTTTAGGTAGTGTCTCATGCAGCTAGCTCCTTAGGGCTTGGATTAAAGGCAGGTGCCACAATGCCAAGCTTAGGAAAATGTTCCCTTTGCTATAATTTACTTGTAAGGTATGCTAATAGAGTGACGACATTTCACAATACTTCGCCTGGACCCTCTTGGACTTCATTACTTAATTCTTTTTTTTTTTTTTTTTTTTTTTTTTGATTTTTGAGACAGGGTTTCTCCGAGGCTTTTGGAGGCTGTCCTGGAACTTGTTCTGTAGACCAGGCTGGCCTCGAATTCACAGAGATCTGCCTGCCTCTGCCTCCCGAGTGCTGGGATTAAAGGTGCGCGCCACCAACGCCCTGCTACTTAATTCCTTTTTAAAGTAAGGGAGAAATGTATTTCTTACTGTGCTGCCTCGCTGCATTTCACATTTTATAGCCTGCTTTCTAGTGCTTTAAAGGCACCTGGGACCTGGAGAGGTGTAAGTGTTACTTTATTTCCTTCTCAGTTTCAGTCAGAGTTTGCAGAAGAGGTTAGGGAGATGCGCTGTGAGGTGTTTGCCCTCCTGTGAGACGAGGCTTTACTCCTAGCACTTTGGAGACTGCGGTAGCAGGGCACAAGTTGAAGGCTAGTTTGGACTACATACAGAGCAAGTCCCTGTCTCAAAGACAGAAAAAGCTCATGCTGTGCTGTGTGAAATGCTTGGAGTTACTCTCTCTTCCCGCTTCTATTTCTTGGTTTTGGAAATCTAATTGAAAAAGCCCTGAACTCTTTAGTGAATTCAGTTCAAATATTAATTCAAAGTTTCTGAATTGTGTTTTTCTACCTTGAGAACTTTAAACACTCTAATTATTGGAACCTAGGGCTGAAATTCCCAAGTTGTGGTTTAATTTGATTCTCTTTCTGCATCCCAAGGTGGTGTTTTAAAGAAAGTGTGTCCCTTATGATCCCTAATGACTCCCCATGGGCTTCATTAGACCCTTTAAGTGGACCCTAAGAAGGGACCTGGCATCTGAAGCTGTGGGATGTAAAGACATCTAACAGGGCCCCCCAAAGATCACCAACGGAAACGTTTAATTGTTTGGGGAGCTGGTTCTCCCCAAGTAAAAGATCTGTGTATAGACTTTGGGGAGGAATTATAACAATTGTGTGCCACTTTGGAGGTGTTAATTACACTATGAGACTATCGTTTTTTTTTGCTCAGGGAAGAGTTGTGTCAAGCCCAGGGGTGGTGGCATGTGCCTGCATTCCCAGCAGCTAGGAGGCTGAAGCAGGTACAGGTTTGAGGCCAGCCTTGAGTATGTAGTGAGGCCCTGATTTTGGAGGATGGGAGGGATCAGATTACTTGTTAGACCATATCCAGACTTGGAGGTTGTAAATGTCACTACAGAACTTACCCTCTGCTACCATTTCCCTCTGTGTGTGTGTGTGTGTGTGTGTGTGTGTTACATATATAGCAAATAACACTTGTTTCTGCACATGCATTCCTATTAGTCAAGCCATTCCTCTATTTGATGTATAAATGAATTTCAGAGAAAAGGTTATTAGGCTTTAAAATGACTATAAATGTTAACTAAGGTCATGAATAGTTAGTGGTGGGAGCTGATATACTATACTGCATAGCAAGTCGACACAAAGCATTTTAGAACCTGTTTTACTTTTTCTCTTTAAGTGTAATAAAATAGCACTTTCCTTTTGATTCTTACTCAACTCAGGCTTGGGATTTTCCATGTAGAGAAAGCAAGGTAGCAGATGGCCTCTTGAGGTTGAGACGCGCACACACACACACGCACGCACGCACGCACGCACGCACGCACTTAGGCACAGGATAATTCCTTACAGGAATTAACCATTACTCCATTCTTTTTTTATATATGCATAGGCTGTGAAATAGAGCATTGTTCTCGATGCTATACCAAAGGGAACACTACTCAGTTTTTATGGTTTCTTAGCTTTGTCTCCCCCTTTCATAGGTTTCAGGTTTCAGTCAGGCTATATTTTGTGACCATCTTTAAGAGCATAGGGGATGTGGTACTGAAGCATCGCCCCAATAAACAGACTTTTCTTTTGTGTAACGCATTATGGGACCCACTTGTTTGTAAGGCAGGGATAACAGGGTGGTACCCACATGGGTCATTACAGATTTCAGTATCAGGTAGTGTATACACTGGGCATGTCAGAAGTTCTGTGGGTATGCTGAATGAACAGTAACTACCAAAAGGATCTCTAGGACAGGTGAGATTTGAAAATTGAGGGATGAAGAAGGGAGGGGCTGTCATTCTAAGGAATGTAAATACAGGTATAATTATGGCGGAGGAAGGAGCATGTGCACAGTAGTGTATGTTGGGAAGCCAAGGTTGATGGTGTGGAGCCCAGAGCATCATTAGAATAATGGGACCTGTACTGAAATTAGGTTCTGGAAAAGGCAGGTGAGGTTTGCAGTTAGAGTTAGGAGAAGTAGGTGAGAAGTTTTGTTTCGTTCCTGTAAGCAGTTAGGCAGAGTACAATGATGGCACTTGGTATGTCTCATCAGATCATTTATAGTAGTCACTCATGGAATGATGGGAGTGGCGTGGTTTGGTTTTTCTGAGTGTTATTTTGCTATCTGAAGTGATTCAGTAGTTTGTAGGAAAGGAACCTTGGAGAGCATTTCCACAATGTGAAGGAAGTACTGGGGACCTGTGTTTGTCTAAGAAACGAGCCTTCAGAGTTCAGTTGGAAGACGGGGTACTGAGTAGAAGTAGGAACGTCACCTGATTGCCCAAAGAACACGTTAGGAGAGGACTCTGAAACCACGTAGGAACAAGACTTCCATTCCAGTCATTCTTACTCAGTGGTCTGATTTTTGTGGTGCTGCACCATTTTTTAATGATTATCACATTATATAGGTGTGTTGAGTTTTAAAGCTTAACAAAAAGTACATATCTTTACAAATTTGTCTTGAAGGTAACTTAGTAGTCTCGTGACAAACAGAATTACTTTAGAAACCAGAAAATATGGGGCCAGGTTTTCTAAAATAATGTGTTCAGTTGGTCTGGTCTTCGGAACTGTAAAGTTGTCTTGAGGGTTAATAGCTGTGAAAATATCATACTAAAGGAAGAAAGTTATAATTGCTAGTATGAAAGCACGCTCTGAAACACTTCATCTGAATACTGTTCTTTTCTTTAGGTATAATTGTGTCCAGTACTGTGCTGATTTTGTCCCAACGATCACTCTTCAAGTTTTACATGTACAGCTCGGCCTTTCTCTTAGCTGCAACGTCAGTGCTGGTCAATTACTATGCTGCTTTGCACATTGACTTCTATGGCGCCTACAACACATCAGCTTTTGGAATCGAGCTGCTCCCTCGGAAGGGACCTTCACTGTGGATGGCACTCATCGTCCTGCAGCTGACCTTTGGAATTGGATATGTCACACTGCTCCATATCCAGTCCATCTATTCACAGCTGATTATTTTGAATATCTTGGTTCCTGTAATCGGCTTAATCACAGAGCTACCATTACACATGAGAGAGACTCTAGTTTTCACCTCATCTTTGATTCTCATATTAAACACAGTGCTTGTCTTGGCAGTGAAACTTAAGTGGTTTTATTATTCCACACGGTATGTTTACCTGTTAGTGAGGCATATGTACCGAATTTATGGACTACAGTTACTGATGGAGGACACATGGAAGAGGATTCGTTTCCCAGACATACTTCGGGTCTTCTGGCTAACAAGAATCACAGCTCAGGCTACAGTGTTAATATACATTTTAAGGATGGCAAATGAAAGTGAGTCCTTGTTTATTTCTTGGGATGATTTCTGGGACCTCATTTGCAATCTGATAATTAGTGGGTGCGATTCTACCCTGACTGTGCTAGGCATGAGCGCCGTCATTTCGTCAGTGGCCCATTACTTGGGTCTTGGCATACTGGCCTTTATTGGATCAACGGAAGAGGATGACAGACGGCTTGGCTTTGTTGCTCCTGTGTTGTTTTTCATTTTGGCTCTTCAGACTGGCTTAAGTGGACTGCGACCTGAAGAGAGACTGATCCGCTTAAGTAGAAACATGTGCCTTTTATTAACCGCAGTCCTGCATTTCATCCATGGGATGACAGACCCCGTGCTGATGTCTCTCAGTGCCTCCCACGTGTCGTCATTCCACAGACACTTCCCTGTGCTGTTTGTCTCTGCCTGCCTGTTTACTCTTCCTGTTTTCCTCAGCTATGTCCTTTGGCATCACTATGCACTAAATACATGGTTGTTTGCGGTGACCGCCTTCTGTGTGGAACTCTGCCTGAAAGTAATAGTGTCTCTCACTGTTTATACGCTCTTCATGATTGATGGCTACTACAATGTCCTCTGGGAGAAGCTCGACGATTATGTCTACTTCGTTCGCTCAACAGGCAACATTATCGAATTTATATTTGGAGTAGTAATGTTTGGGAATGGGGCCTACACCATGATGTTTGAGTCAGGAAGTAAAATTCGGGCTTGTATGATGTGCCTCCATGCGTATTTTAACATCTACTTACAAGTTAAAAATGGCTGGAAGACATTCATGAACCGTAGAACTGCTGTGAAGAAAATCAACTCACTTCCTGAAATAAAAGGGAGCCACTTGCAAGAAATAGATGACGTCTGTGCCATCTGCTACCATGAGTTTACAACATCTGCTCGGATTACACCGTGTAACCATTACTTCCATGCACTCTGCCTCCGGAAATGGCTGTACATTCAAGACACTTGTCCAATGTGCCACCAGAAAGTGTACATCGAAGATGATACCAAGGATAATTCAAATATTTCTAACAACAATGGATTTATTGCACCCAATGAAAACCCGAATCCAGAGGAAGCTCTGAGAGAAGGCGCTGCCGGACCCGACCGAGACCTGAACGAGGACGCCAGTACAGACTGCGATGCTGCCGATGCTCGGCGGGAGAGAAACAGAGGGATTCAGCACACGGGCGCAGCAGCAGCAGCGTTTAATGATGACACTGATTAAAGTAGCATTTACTAATCATTGAGGTATTTGTTTAAAATTCAGTTCATCCAAAATGGAGTAATATGCTTCACATCAGTGTGTAACCAAGCACAAAACCAGTATCGATGTTGAAACTGTGAATGATTTTCCGTTTACTGTGATGTGCTACTGTAAATATACCTCTTTAATTACTTCTGGTCTCTTTGGTGACCTATTTAAATTTGTGTACATTATTGTACATAGAATAAAATGTTTTCACGTTTTTATGACAAAAGTTGAACAAATAACTTCTTAATAGAGATAATGGTCACATGGTGCGTCAGCTGTGCCAAAGATTCCTCCAGGAAATTAGAAAATATCCAATGCTGGACCCTAGTTTTTCTTTAGAATGAGTGGGAAAATTAAAGTGCAAAAGAAGGGAACTTCAGTGTAAAATTAAAGATGAGATGAAAGAATTTGCATTAGAAAGGCTATCTTGTTTTAACTAAGGGACGATAACCTGTTAGAAGCAACTGAGAAACTTGAAATCTGAGCTGCAACTTCGAGCTGGGTTCAAGAGTCAGGGACTGAGAACTGAGAAATAGGCTTGTTATCACCCAAGCTTCGATACAAACCAGGGTGTACTGTGTACAAACATCAGTGTCCTTCAGACTTTTGGTGAAATTACACAATAAAAAGGTGGTCATTGTTAACTAAGGCACTAATTGCCTAAACAGTGCTGCTCCGACTTTCTGGGTCAAAGTGAGGGAGCAGTGTACAGTGCTCCCGCTTCAGAGCACCGCTGGGAAGAGTCCCCCAATGACGCCTACAGATTTACTATGAAATTCCACTTCTTAAAAAGAAAACACGGACAATTAAGTATCAGGAAAAAAAGATTTTAATGGTGTTGTTATATAGTGTGTTGGCTAGTTCCAGTGGATCTTCTTCTCTTACGGCCGCCATTATCTCCAATATTTGACTAAAACAAAACACAGAAGAATCAACTTTCTAAGACTATATTGTTTCAAAGGTATAGAATCACCTTTTCCTGTGTAAGAGGTCTTGTACCCTTCCTAAGAAAGTTTAAATAAGTTGTCAGTAATATCAGTAGGAAAACATTACTAGTCACTGGCAATAAGAAAGTTCTGGAGCTAACAAGCATATAAAATCTAAAACCAGGGTCATGTAATTGCAATAGTAATGGAACTGTCCTGGAGTTAGGAGTCCTTTTGTAGGTCATAGCACATGTGTTACTGGATAATGAGCATCTTAAAAATGAAATGTATGCTGCACATAATACAGGTTAAGTACCTTTCTACTTTGGGTTTAGTTTTATTTACACGTGCACATGCTCGCGCATGCTCGCGCGCACACACACGCACAATGATGGTGTTGGGGTGAGCAGGGCCAAGCCTTGGAAGGCATTGCTTACTGCACTGGTCTTTAAGGGACAGCAGGATAGCTGTGTACACATAAACAGGTAACAGATACAGAAGGTGGTGGTATTGGAGGGCTCTGGTCTTGTACACAGAGCAGAGTGAAGCGCCCAGAGGCCTCTCTGCACAGAATGATGATCGGCAGTAGTGGTTCCCTAGAAATGTTGTCTGTGGTTCGTTTTTAAACATGGATTAGAAAGTTACAGTCTAAATTAAACATTTGAATATTCTTTGTCGTGGCCTTTTGTTCCTTTTGTGAGTAGCCTGACTGAACACTCAAACAGGACAGGGATGTAAGATTGGCTGAAATTTTAAGAACTCATCAGTATGCCACAGAAGCCTTGCTTGACACAGATACCGACGGGAACGAAGCCTGTCAACACTGAAACATTAAATGCAGTTTTCTGCAGTGAGCCCGAGGGCTTTCTGTGCCACTCAGACTGCGTTCGTTAAGTGCGCCTGCTGCTGACAGACCAGTGGCCCAGGAGGGCGTGTGCAGCAGAGACACTGTCCTACTCAGAAACGTGTTAGAATCACTGGTGCTCAGTAAGGTGTTGTGTTTAGTGAGCCGGTGACGGCCTCTGGCCACCCGGCCAGTCCTTCATATCCAGTGTACTTATCTGTAGCTTCAGGGGCATAAGCTGCCATTACTTGGTTTTAAGTAGAGCATTCTGGGGGAGTTAATGGCTTTTGCTTATCGTGACACATTACATTTTATCTCAGTTATTTCTAAGTGGGTGGTGGCGTGTGTACGTGAATACAGGGACCAGAGGAGCTGGAGTTGTAGGTGGTTGTGAGCCGCCCCGTGTGTGGTGCTGGGAACACAGCTCAGGTGCCCTTAGTCTCTGAGCCATCTCTCCAGCCCCTCCTGTGACACCCTTATACTAGGCACAGGCAAATGTCTACCCATCACCGTTCAGCACTCCTCACAAGGACAACTCTTGAAGAAAAGAAAATGGATGTAGACATGGTGATTGGAGACTAACCCAACAGTTGGGAGACAGAAGCAGGGGATTAGGGATTCAAGGTCACCTACTGCTCTACAGCAACTTCTAAGCTTCGTGGGCTACATGAGACCCTTACTCAAATGAAAATCACCACTCTCTTGTTTTTAGTCTCTTCAGGTCATGATGAAATCCACACTGCTGCCAGACAAAAGCTCCAAGGATCTGGTCTCGCTTTGCTGTCCCAGATTTCTCTTCTTCCACTCAGCTTATCCTACTTTCTGCCACACTAAGTCCATTGTCCCCTGACACTGCCAGGCTTTTCTACAGTCTGCCTTTGCTCAACATGTTTGTAACTGACCTGACTGCAGTCATGCTTAGTAAACAAACAGCTCAAGTTCCACAGCAGTAAAGCAAGCTCCCATACAGTCCCGCCTAGGGCCGACAGTTGTTAACTCCAAGCTCCCGGTCACGCACTGGCACCTCTCATGCAGCTCACTGATGTGCTCCAGGGAGCAGAGGTCCCCTCCAAAACTCCTGCCACGGTGATCCTACTCATCCAGTGGGTGTATGATTGTAAGAACTATTGGTTCTCCTAGGTAGCCTCAGTAACCTGCACATTTCCTGACACAGCAGGAGCTCCAAAATCCAAGAAATTTAGAGCCTAAAGGAAAGGGAGACCTGTCTGCAAATAGTTAAAATGGAAAACTCAGTGGAGTGAGGGGTACCTATCTAAAATGTTGACTTTTTCAGCTTGTAAAAGCTCTGCCACTTAGCTGACTGCAGGACAGACTGACAGACAAGCTCCACCACTTAGCTGACTGCAGGACAGACTGACGGACAAGCTCTGCCAATTGGCTGACTGTATTAACTCTGCATTAAAAGCTCTATTACCAAGCTATGACTTCACAAAGCACTCAGTACAGAAACATGCATTGACACTGCATTCTCCAGTTAGTGTGTGTATTCACCAAGTGGCTGTGGTGGAACTACAGCTTCTTTATTGTCTTGGGATTTCTAGTGTCCCCTTCGATTGTCAAAGAATCATGAGGAATAATGTCTTCTAAGTGACTCTGCAAATCTCTGTACCACCACCCCAGGCCCCTCCCCCCAAAAAAGCCTGAAAGTGGTATTTTACAAGCAGAGTACAAAGATCCCTCACCTTAGGGGTTTTAAGCATCAGTTCAACACTGCCAAAACCAACGTGTTAAAGACAAAAGACCTGTATGCATGTATAGAAGGACACTTTAATTGGCTTTTCTGCCTGCTGAATTTTAGACTTGGCTTATACTCTATTTATTACAGATTATATACAAATTTTTTTTTGGTTTTTCGAGACAGGTTTCCCTGTATTGTTTTGGAGGCTGTCCTGGAACTCGCTCTGTAGACCAGGCTGGCCTCAAACTCAGAGATCCGCCTGCCTCTGCCTCTCAAGTGCTGGCATTAAAGGCATGTGCCACCAATGCCCAGCCTACAAATTACTTTTTTAAGGCACATTTTCAAGACATTGCAGTCTACCAGAAACAGTCTGATAACTAACGCTTATAAATGTTAGAGGCATGCCTACAGTGGCAAACCACACTAGGCCAATGTAATCTAGACTTAACTTGGGATGGGTGCCCATCAAACGATGAGACCAACTTTTCCTGCTTGCCAGGAGAGTTCCCAGCTCCCTACGCATAACCCATTCTGGATTAGAGCATTCTTTTCAGGCGAGGTTGAGGAAAGGACGTCCTGTGACACCATTTCATCATGGAGGCTTCACAAACTGTGCTAGCTCCCTGGAGTTGTTGCTACTGTCCGTATTTAACTTGCAGATAACCATTAACTAAAGGTCAGCCAACAGGTTATAAACAGTAGCAGGGCCAGTGCATTGGACGGACTCTGGCAAGCTTTAAGGTCTTTTCTCTTTTCCTACAAAGTGACAAATGACCAAAGCCACAGACTTCTCACCGAGGCAGTAAAATCCCTTGGACGGAAGTGACAAATGACCAAAGCCACAGACTTCTCACCGAGGCAGTAAAACCACTTGAGCCTAGAAGATGACAGCAATCCAGGGGCACGTATGTCCAATCACCATCCCAGTGGCCTGGGACCTGAACTTGAACTTGGCTCAAGTGCTAGCGGGTGGCTTATCAGTACCACAGTGTACAGCACATTTGTCTGAACTAACCTGACCCTGACTGCAATGCCAGACCCTTCACTCTGCCCCCCCCCCTTCACTCAGCGGCAGGCAGTGGTCCTCTCTGACAGCTGTGAACATTCTGGAACAACCACTTACATTATATGGCAAGGCTCGTTTCTGTCTTTTAAACAGTACCCGTTTTCCCATTTCTTTTTGGTAGGAAATGCAGTTTTTATGTATTTTGATCCAGCATGTGTACTTTTAACTCCACACCAAGGCGCATCTAGAATTGTGGAAAGGGGAAAGAAGGTAGTAAGGAATTTACTTTTCTAAATCTATTTCACAAATAGTACACTAGTATATAACCTAAAATTATAAGCCATTATCTAACTTTCAAAATGGCGAAATTAATGCAACAGAAAACAGTTCTAGGAAAAGCATAATAGAAAGTTCCAAGCTGTCCTTGGAAAAAGGCTGGTTTTTCTCTATTTTATTTCCTTCCTAATGTGGCTAGCGTATGACATGCTTTGGGATGCGCGCGGTGGGGGAAGGGGGGCGGGGGACATGACGGCACGACATAAATGTACAAGAAGTATCTCTGAAGTGCTTCAGCATCTTAAGACTGCTCTGTGTCCCTTCTACTACATGTGAAAGCATGCTGTGTCTCATGGTATCTGCCTGAGATATTCCTGTGATCTTCCGAATGGCATTTCACTGTCAATAAGATCGCTTTATGACTGTCTGAGGAAATAAATCTCATTTCCCCAGAGTGACTCAGTCTACAGGCTTGATAAACAGCAATGCCCGAGTTACAGGCTCAGGTCAGAGTCCTGGCTTTTGAACCTGTTTAAAGAGATAACACTCTAAAGTCCTTACATTGAAACCTCTCATTTCAATTGCTAGTCTGTTTGTAAGGGCTATAGAATTAAGCCACTATAAAAGAGTCTCTCAAACCCTGATGTAAACTGCTTAGAGGACTCATTTCACTAAATATTCACAAATACACACTCAATTATCACAGATTCTGTCATCTTTTTTAAGTTTTGAGGTTTAGCCAAACTGAAAATAAAAATCTGTGTAACTACTTTTCCAATAATAATAACCTCCAAAAATCTATAAAAAAAAAAACAAAAAAATCATATATTGAGACTGAAACTAGAAGTTAAATGCCCTGTAATTTTTTAGGGGGGGTGCGGGGAGACACATTAGGGGTCAATATAAACTTGAATTTCTGCAAACATCCACTTACCTGTTTCAATCATTAGTTTTTCACTAGGTATCGACTTCAGAACTTCCAAGTTAGCTTCCGTTTTCAGTGAGCTTGAAAACAACATTTAAGACTATTTAGTGAATTTTTTTTTTTTTTTTGGTTTTTCGAGACAGGGTTTCTCTGTGGCTGTGGAGGCTGTCCTGGAACTAGCTCTTGTAGTCCAGGCTGGTCTTGAACTCACAGAGATCCTCCTGCCTCTGCCTCCCGAGTGCTGGGATTAAAGGTGTGCGCCACCACCGCCCGGCTTTAGTGAATAATTTTTAATAAGACACTTTAAAGTTATAAAACCACAAAGAATTTTGTTCTCAGTATATTTTAGAAAGAATACATTTTTATTTTTCAGAGCCCAGGTTATAGTCAACTTCAAATCTACCTCTATTTCTGTCCCTTTTGTGACATTTAAAAAACATTAGTTTTACTTAGTGTATAGGCACGCATGCACACCATGTGAATGTCACATATGTGGATAATCCCAGAGGCCAGCAATCCCTTGCACGACACCTGGTGTGTTATGGGGAACCGAACTTAGGTCCTTTGGAAGGGCAGCAGGTGCTCTTAACCTCTGAGCCACCTGTCCAGCCCCGTAACTTACTTTTGAACTTATCCTATAACAAAACTTAGGTACTTGTACCTTCACAACCTGTGGCCAAACTCCACTCCTTGAATGTGGCCTTGCTCAACACTTGCTTTGGAATAACGGGGTATCCAATGTGCCTTCTATGGTTAGAACAGGATGATGTGACGCCTGAGCAGCATCCCTGATAGCTACCTTTTCAACTAGGTGCCCAGAAAGAAAATGTGGCAGCCAGACCCAGCTCACCCAAGACCTATGAGTGGGAATGTAAATGCCTCTAACTTGCCAGCGAGTAATAGAATGATTGAGTAATCAATGTGATGAGAGGTACTGTCTTTGTATTATTTGTATGTAATCACAACTTCACTGGGAAGACATTTCTGTAACCAGCATTCTTCCCGCCAGCCTGGTCCTAGAGCTGCGTCAACCTCAAATAACACATAGAGGCTCTATTAGTTACAGTGCTGTTAGCCAATGTCCAGGGCTTCTCATTGGCTAGTTCTTAACTCATGACTACTAATGTATATTTCTATAAGGTCTTATCTTACCGAGGATGCCTGCCTCATTTGTCCTCTCTTCCCAGAATCACATGGCAACCCCTACTCTTGACTACATTTCCCAGAATCCTCAACTCCTAGTCCTACCTATCTTGCTTCCCTATTGGCCAACAGTGCTTTATTTATCAACCAATAAGACAAACATATACACAGAAGGACTTTCCCCCATCACATTTCAAAACAATTTTAGGTCCTTACCTAAGCTGAACACAACACACCCCTCATGCCCCTCCCCTGCCAAGTAAGCACAGCCTCCCCCACGCTGAATCCCGCCGCAGTGGTCACACTAACACATCACCCCATCCAAAGCCCAGGAGTTCATTCCTGGCTTGCCCTCTGTGGGAATGGCGTATCTCCTGCAGAGCACTTTCACTGTCAACAAGTGCTCTGTGTGTCCATCCCTTCCTTCTCCATCCCGGCAACCACTGATCTTCTTACTGCTCCTTGATAGTCACCTTACCCAACAGTTCTAGTGAAACTAGGAGACACCTGTCAGCCCAACTGATCGTAATTAAGGCAAATCATAAACGGAGAAACAATAAGCTTTTACTGCTAAGTGACTTAAATGTTGGAGGCCAGTGAGAGAGACTAGCAGACAGATTGCCCCCAGCAGTACCCAGAACTCGGTACCTGGAATGCTGAGCTGGGACAGGGAAAGGGAACTGAGATGGTCTGAAAAGACCGGGCAGAGAAACCATGAGGCGCGTGCGTGGGTTACCTGTGACTCGGGATAGGTGAAGGAGACACAAGTTAGAAGAGTTTGGGGACAGCCAGCACAGCCGAACAGGACCACAGCACTGCGGATGCAGAGTGAGCTGGTTCCCTCTTACCTCACTCTGCTCCAACACCACATTTAAAACCCTACCTGCTGTTCTAGCAAAGACCACACACAGGGCATCCTTCTAGAGAAAACCAGCCCAGACAAAGGTCTCTACAGAAGGACGCGTGGGAATCCAGCTGTCACTTGAGCTTGCTAGTTGACTGACAGACTCTCCTAGAGCTTCCAAAACATTGTTTGTGATGAGATTTCATGTAGACTAGGCTGGCCTCAAACTTGCCTTGTAACTGAGGCTAGCCCTTTAAATTCTTACTTCAACTCCTGGGTAGGCAGGGACCACTATGTTCAGCGGTTTTCTTTTTCTTTCCTAAGCATCAGAAGACTGCTTGGCATTTGAAGAAAGTTCCCATTATAAAAAAGACCAACCACATGAGGGACAGGACCAAGATGAAAGCGACAGAACAGTAAGATGTCTTCCGAGTACAATATCTTCAGACAGAAGGCACGCCATCTGTCAGGGATGGCGTATGAGAGAATGTTAGAGCTATAAGGAAAGCCGAAGTGGATTTCATCTTAAAAAGCTGAAAATAAAACAAGTTTTGGAAGGTGTGAAAGTAGAGATGGAAAGTTTAGAAAAGATAATACCAGTTACCAATTCTGAGATGTCCCAAAAAAGAAAGGATATTCCCAGAAGTGATTAAAAAATAAAACCAGTGAGGCTCCAGCTACAAGGCGCTAGTAAGAGAGTAACAAGATGAGTGACAGACATCTGTGAAATCCCACACAAACTAATCTACAGCCTGTCCAGGAAAAGCACAGTAGGTGACAGGCAAAGGACACAGTTCTGAATAGCAAGCAGCTGCCTCTGGCCCAGAGCCTGCTTCTGGAGAATCCAGAGCGGGTTCCCTTCCTCTGACTACCTGAGCACACTTTCAATGAGACAGACCTACTACTCATGAACACTTTCTCAGGAAGCAAGGAGTGTGTTCACCAAAGCAAACCGACACCATGATAGCTCCCAGCTGCGTGTCAGGACTCGAGGCTGAGGCAGGAGTAGCCGGGGTCCCCCTCACCCACACAGTTCACGGCAGCATGGACTACGTGGGAGTTCACGGCAGCATGGACTACGTGGGAGTTCACTCCGGAGCAGAGCAAAATGAACAAAACCCACACCAGAATGCACGCGAGCCTGAGAAGTTCACAGAAGAGGAACCAACAAACCAACTAAATAGGCTCCCTCATGGAAAACCAAATAAGACATTTGTATGGCGCTACAGCAAGTGCCAGGAAGCCTCAGCTTATCTTGTCTGGTGGAACAGTGGCTCAGTATGTAGCCCTGGCTAGCCTCCGACTCACAATCCTCCTGCTTCGGCCTCCCGGGAGCTGAGATTATAGGCCCATGCCGTTGTGCCTGGCTGGGCTTCACGTTTGGAAATGAAGGAAATAAAAATATGAGGCCAGTTACTCCAAGAAAACAAAAGTGTCCCATGAAGAGAAGGTGGTCACAGAGACAGTGACAACCCCAGAAAGCCCTGAGTCCTGAAATGACGCTGGGCAGGAGACCCGGAACACCGAGACTGGGAGAGAGCAGTAGCCGCCCCGTTTTTGGTATGCTTGTTAACATGTGCGTATGTCTGCTTGACTGTCAACTGACAAATTAGCCATCTCCTAGGAAAGAACCACCCTGAGCTCTACAGGAAGGAGCAGCGCCACCATCCTGTCTCCCTAAGACTTTACACCCAATGTCACCAGCGACCATCGGAAGGGCGCCACTGGCATCTGAGAGAAAACGAGGCCAGGACCTTGCCGTCCTGGCTGATGAGGCTGTTTGAAGTTCAGTGTGGAGTTACGGAGCCAGAGGACAGGTCCTCACACTTGGGGTAATTGTACACCTGTTTCCTAACTCTGCGGCCTACAGAAACATACAATGACTGTCACAGAATACTCGTTCCCCGGGGCCAACATGTGTGCCTTATGGAAAAGGCTGTGAATGTCCGTCTACGAGACGCGTAGGCAACCTGAGGACAGACTGGATGTCTAAGGCAGGTCAGCGGCTGACCACAACAGTTGTTCCCAGGGTGGGGGTACAGCGGAGCAGCATGTGACGTTTGAGCGCTGCCTGTAATAACAACCTACATTTCTTACACAAGCCGTTACTAAACTCTCAGACAAGATCAATGCAGGGCATACAAACGCTAATAAATAAATCTGCTGAAATACAAATCGGTAAACAAAAACGTCTGAGAACTTACCAACCGTTAAAGCCTATGTAAAGGTCCAAGTCAATCAAAGCGGCCGCTGCCTCCTTTGTGCCATCAAATGAATGCACCTAGGGATATGTGTGTGTGATTACAACAGTCTTTTTTTTTAAATTTATTTATTTATGACAGATACAGTTTGTCTACATGCCAGAAGAGGGCATGCACCAGATTGAATTGTAGATGGCTGTGAGCCACCATGTGGTTGCTGGGAATTGAACTCAGGACTTCTGGAAGAGCAGTCAGTGCTCTTAACCTCTGAGCCATCTCTCCAGCCCCTGATTACAACAGCCTTAACGTCCACAACAGCACCGACAAACGTTCTAAAGAAAGCAGAAGTCTATGCAAAGGTTTGGATTCCCAGGGCACATACAATCAATGTTTTTCTTTCAAACCAGACGGTAATCACAGCCTCTCATCACTTCCAGTATCACAAAGCAAGGCGTTAGCTGCCTCAGGATTCTCTGCAGCTGCCCGGGGTGTGTCTACATCACCCTCTGTGCAGACTCGGGAAAGGAGCCCCACTCCACAGGAGGAGGAAGGGTCTGGGATGCTCATTTAAAATATAGTGAAATCCCACCACTCTGCTAGAGGATAGTTGGTTTTTAGAGGAGACAAGGTTAATCATTAGGAGGGAGGGTGTTGCTTTTAAATATCAACTGTGGGCCCGGAAGGATGACTCAGCAGATCTGAGTTCAATTCCTAGCACTCACCTGGAGTCCCAGCTCCAGGGGATCCGATGCCCTCTTCTGGCCTCATTGAGATCTCTCTCTCTCTCTGTCTCTGTCTGTCTCTCTCTGTGTGTGTGTGTGTGTGTGTGTCTGTGAGTGTATAGAAAAATGTAAATGAAAACGACATTATCCACACCAGCTATGCAGGAGAAAGGGCTGACAGCTCCCTCTTCTGCTTTAGTGTAGTAGGTAACAGAAAGCAGTAACTGACAGTAACACTCCTTCACAAATGAAGTCAGGTCACCACTGTCTGTGGAGAACATGCTCTCGGCTGTGTTACACAGCTGCCTTCGAGATTTGATCTTCCCTCAGCATTTCCAGTGAACTAAAATAATAAGATCTTCTGGTAATACAAAGCATAATTTAAAATGTGGTTTCTTATAAGTCAGTTCAGTGCACTTGTTGTGAATGCCTTATTTGGCAATTTCTTTTATTAAAGGCAGACATTTCGGCTGGCTTTGCTGTTCCTGGTATTGACTTTTTGAAGTTGTAGACTCATCCCAGTAAAGTTTTACTTGGAAATGAAGGGAATGAGTGAGAAGTGGAGTCTAGAAATTACAATAATGCTGTCAGTAATGCCCAGGGCATTAATTAAAACCCTTCTCAATTCCTAAGTACAGGCCCTGAGGGAAAATTAAAGAGCACAGACTAGTGACTACAGAGTAACACCGACAGGAAGGACACACCCCTCTCACTGGGGTACGCAACGTCAAGCAGAGGAAAGCCCTGAAAACCACGAGGGTCGGCAAGATGGCACTCTTGAGTGAAGGTGCTAAGCCCTGACGACCAAACTTCAATTCCTGAGAACCAACTCGTGTGTCGTGCGAGCTGTCTCTGATCGCCACATAAACACCACAACACGTGTATGTACATGTCCACACACACATGAAATGTAATAAAAACTGTAAGTGTGTTCCTTAAAGTTTCAAAACACTGTAGGTAAAAGGGTCCAAGTGAAGCCAGGCCATGCAAATGCTTGGGTTAGGTCCTAGCTCCTTGACTGGCACAGTGGAACTGTGTTTTAAATTCTTAAGTGACAACCTGTACCCAAGAGATGATCACTGAATCTCTTGAAATTGTATTAGAAATTTTGTATGTGTGAGCAGTTTTTTTAAGGCAGATTATCTACTGGAGCCTATGATCCAAAATGATCAGAAATCGCTATCAGAGATGCCCAGCCAAGAGATAGCTGAGAATATTTATGGGGAATGTCTCTAGAGTAATGACTGAGCTGGGTGGTGGTGGCACACTCCTTTAATTCCAGCACTTGGGAGGCAGAGAGAGGCGGATCTCTGTGAGTTTGAGGCCAGCCTGGTCTACAGAGCGAGTTCCAGGACAGCCAGGGCTACACAGAGAAACCCTGTCGGAAAAAACTAAAGAAAATAAAGAGTGCACAGGGATAGAATTGTACACTCACATTTGTTCTTGTAAGTAGAATTTCTACTCATTCTTGTACTTTAACAAAAGAAGTACAATAAAATTGAGATTTGTCTATAGATCGTCTGGCCCATAAATCCAATAGTAAATTTACATGTCTTCCAACCTAGAGACTCAATAACATTACTTCTGATATCTGAATTACCAAAGCAACCTTAACACAAAGACATACTTGTAAATCCCATACTTAAAACAGCCATTTATACTTACCACGCCACCCACACACCGGTCTCTATTTCTTCTCATTATGTCTGTGAATTAAAAAAGAAGGACTTTAAACTATTTTAGCCTAACTGCTGACCAGCTCTCAGACTGTAATGATATTTTACTTTTCACTCACCCAGAAACTCAGCATGTGAGTTTCGACAATGAAGAAACATTGGTAGTTGTGTCTGTTCTGACAGTTCAAATTGTTTCTCGAAATATCTGCACAATGCAAAAAAAAAAAAAAATCCACACTAAAAATTTTATTTTAGCATGACACATATATCAAACAAGTTTTAACTAAGGGGATTTTATTATCTAGAAGTGGAGATAGAAAGACAGTGAATTCAGATATAAAAAGCATCAGGTTCTTGTCTGCCACACGGGCCACTTCATTTACTAGGACTGCAAACACAGTGTCCGCAGGCCTCTGCATCTGAAACTGATACTCTGCCTTTGTTCCGGTCTCTAAATCACCTTCTCAGATCTGCTGGGTTAGGGTAAGCAAAAGCAATTTTGCCTCAGTTAAAGCGAGGGCATTTTGCAGGTTAGGAAACATAAAAACTTAAGATGATTCAGAGTTAGTGGGCTGGGGACAGAGCCCGATGGGTGGAGTCCTCGCCCAGAGTGCACGGAGCCTGGCATGAAACCGAGTGCAGCAGCTCAGGTCTGTTCTCTGGGAGACGGAGACAGATGACAATCACAGTTTAAGCTGATCTTCAGCTACCGAGTTAGTGTGAGGCCAACCTGGGCCACATGAAACCGGTTTCAAAACAAATCCCCAGGAATTAACTAGCTCCCTCTTCCACAGTCACTAAAGTGGCACCCGTGCTCTGTCTGTCACTGTCTAAATGTGACCATGCAGGTGGCTCCAGCTATCCAACAAGCAATGATCTCTCCAAGGTGCTCATTATGCTCAACTCCAGGGCTCAGTCACATGGCCAAGTCACTATCTTACAGAGCTAAACAGTTTAGGAAGTAGCTTTCTGTCACAGAATGGACAAATGTATAATTCATTAGGATCACAGAAACCCAGACAGTGTACCCAGAGAATTTTATTTAAGCCAAGAGAAAGAAAGCCCTGAGTTCAAGCTGGATAGGTACCGTTAAGAGGTCATGTGGTATGTGTATGGAGCGCGGGGGGAGTCTGCAGAAATGGCTCAGTGGTTAAGAACACTGGATGCTTTTTCAGGACACAGGCTCACAACCATATGTAACCCCAGTTCCAGGGGGTCTGATACCCTCTTCTGGTCCTTGCCAATACCGCACACACATATGCAGGCAAGACACTCATAGACATAAAAACAAATGTTTAAAGGGGCTGGTGAGGCGACTCGGCGGGCAGACAAGGGCATGTGCTACATGACAACCATGATGACCATGATGACCACAACGACCATGATGACCACAACAACCATGACGACGGAAGGCTGACACCAAGTTCAATCCGCAGGACACACACCAAAGCAGAACACAGAGAAGCAAGGCCCTTGTGCATGCCGTGGTACGGCTGCTCCCTCACAGAAATAAAACCATCCCGAAAAAGAAAACTCCCACGTGGCAAGACAAAGTAAAACCCCTGACAGTACAAACAGGATAACAGGTACATAGCGTCAAATAACCAGTGCCCTTGAAGGGAAAACAGACAAAGCCATCCGCCAAGTGACTTAGTTATGGAGCAGGAACTAACAGCAGGCAAAGGCTTCCTGTTTATCTTACTTAACAGCTTGTTCCGGTTCATAAACGAAAATCATTCTGGATTTACATCTGCCCACTTTGTCAAAGCTCTCGTTACTCGGGTTGACTCACGGCTTTGACAGCGTGGGCCAACACTAAGGACGGAGCTTCCAAAGGGCATAGGAGGGGCGGCAGCTGTTACTAATCAGGACTGAGGCGCTCCAAAAGTCCAGTGTGTGACACTGTAGGTGGGACTCCTCTCCCAGCTGGCGGACAGCCTGGATGACATCAACCCTTCCAGGGTTGCCCAAGTACCCTGAATCATTTTGAAATCTTGTCTGATTCCTGTTTTTGTTTTTTTAAGATCTATCTAATATTAACATTTTAAATCCCTGAGAAAAATGCCCGGAGCAAGTTCCTGCTACTCAAGAGAACTGGGCCTACCATACAAAGAAAAAGATGGAACAGGGCAGGAAGTCAGGTTACTGCTAGGACTCGAAGACAACTTTCCATGACCAGAGCAAGCCTTTCCTTGTTTCCATTCTTTGCTTCACCCTCTTGTTCTTCTGGATGGAGAGATGACAGGTGGTCCTGTGGTTAGCACTGACTGCTCCTGCAGAGGACCTGCGTTCAGTTCCCAGCGCCCGCCCACCAGATGGATGACTCACTGTAACTGCAGCTGCAGGGGTCTGACACCTTTCCTAACTTCTTATGCACACACATGGACAGTTCAAAAACCCTCAACAGAGCCAAGGCTGGTATCTTCCTTTAGAAGCCATAATTACTGAGTACTCAATCTCGACCTGTCCGGGCATACACCGTGGGCTTGACCCATCATATACTGAAAAAGGACAGACAGTGGCATCCTAGTGCTAGCAATGAGGACACTGAGATGTATAAAGGAATAGACAGCCAGGGAACAGCGAGACTACCTCACACCTAAGGCCTGCTCACTGGACACTTTAACCCCATTACAGGTGCGTCTGCTTACCATTTCCCACACGCAATACCTACTGTGCTTTTAAAAAGGAAAACAGTTTCTAAAACAAATCAGACACTAGGCTAGTATTCCACATGCTACAAAAAAAGCCAGGTGGTGGCGCACGCTTTTAATCCCAGAACTCAGGAGGCAGAAGCAGGAGGATTTCAGTGAGTCTACCTAGGGAGTTCCAGGTAACCTGGGCTACAGGGAGACCCTACTACAGGGAGACCCTGTCTCCAAAACAAAAAGATAAATAAGGAAAGAGAGACAGAGGGAAGGAGGGTGGTGGGGAGGCAGGGAGGGAGAGAGCGAGGGAGGGAAGAAAAGACTGGAAAAGAAAAAGAAAGCACAGCTCAGGGGCCCGGAGAGGTGGCGGTGGCGAAATGTCTGCCAGGCCTTCATGTGCTCCTGAGTCTGATATCCAGAAACCACGTAAAAGAAGAGTCCCAGATCTCAGTTAGGAACCCTGTCTCAAAAACTAAGAAGGACAGCTCCTGAGGAATGACACCCAGCATTGACATCTGGCTTGCTATGCACACACATGCATGTACGTACATGTACATGTGAGCACACAAAGAATAGACCAGGATCTAAATTTTCCCAGCAATAAGTCCCACAGCAAAAATCAAACTACAACCCTCTTATCCATCCAGGAAAGAGAGATGCCCAGAGACCTGAAGGGAGAGAGCAGCTGCGTGCCTGCGACACACTGGAAGACACTGTCTGTGTCTCCAATACACTTAGTAAGTACACAGACACTGATGCACACAGAAGAGGTTAGCCTATGCCAGGGGAGGGCAAGGTGGGACAAGGGTCCCTGGGTATCTGTCTCCTTGACAATAATCCAAATGAGGTTATTACATCTACAGACATCTTTAAATCTCAAGTTAAAAACTGCCAAGCTATCTTATCAGTATTTTCTCCTCAGTTTATTCTTATCTTAATCTTTTTTGAAAAGAGCTGTATCGTGCTATTAACTTAGCAAAGACATCCCAGATTCCCCTAACAAGGCAATCTGTCATCTTCTATCCATACACTTTTCTGTTTTTAGTGTATATACTAGCACTTACCAGCCTACTACAATTATTTATGGACTCTCTTGTCTATAAAGGCCAAAGAACTAAGTCTTAATCTTACCATACTGAAGAGTTACCCAGCAATCATTCACAGAATAGAGTGAGATCGACTCTATTACAGACACTTGGATGTGTGTTCTATACCCTGCTACACATTCTAACACTGACTGATGATGGGAGTTATCCAGAGACGTAAATAGAACCTAAACTGTCAATACTTTCATGGAGCCAAGATCTGGTCTGCAGTATGTAGGTGGCATTCGAGAATCACTTTTAACCTGTTCTAGAAGAAAAGCCATAAGGGCAAGATAACCTATGGACTCTGCAACAGCACTTTTCATGGTACAGTCTGTGGCTCAGAAAGTTCACCCTGGCCCAGGCAGATGCTAGAGTGGAGGAATGGCCTACACAGGTTTCTGTCCAGTGTGAGTCTGTGACCTTTTCAGGTTAGGTGAATTGATCACACGGTGTTCAAGAGACAGATCTCATAGCATTGCTAACATTCTTGGCAGGTGTAACGTGAAAAGTCCCCAGGTCATCACATGAGGTGTCCCCCCAATCAAATGACAAAGTTATTCATTAAGAGGTAATCTGATCCAGATTCTTCTTCTTCATGCATAAGAAACTACAATGGTCCAAGGTAGATGACTGAACACAAATATATCTCTTGTCACCGCTACTGAAAAGTCTGTATGATATAAAACGCATCTCTTTGTTTTACCATTTAAATCAAACCCAATGGTTGATCAGTTGGGCATTATTAATTACATGCAAAGATAAGTGGACTTTGTTTCGCTTAACTGTTGATTTATGCTAGGAAAGCAAACACGCCTTGATATCTAACCCTACATGCCCAATTGATGTAACCATTCTTAGGAGTTTACAACTGTTTCTAAAATCAACAAATTCCTCACTTGAGCTGAGTTTCTTTGGGACAAAACTGCAGGCGGTCAAAATCTGTAAAAGACAAAGAAGAGTCATTACTCAGGATTTGGACGTAACAAGCAGTTATTTTCAAAGAAACGCTGAGTATCAAGGGAAGCACTTACCAAGTCCACACTCCCCTATTGCTACAACTTTCCCCTTGTTGTTCTGAGCAAGGTCCAGCAGTCCTGCTAAGTAATGCTCAGGGTTGTTCTTTACAAACTCATCGCATCTCGTGGGGTGACATCCAACTGTACTGAAAAACATGTCTAATGGAAAAACCACATCCTAGGGTTATTTTCAGAATGTTGTTCCTGTTATTGGCTAACAAGTGAAACAGATAATTTCAACTTATGTTTGGTAGCTATAAATAATTCAAACTTCCAGAATTATGTACATTAATCAAACAAGAATTTCTGACTATGTTAAAAGTGGAATGTGCATATAAAAACTGCCTTCATGTATTAATAAGATTGTCAATTCAACTCTTTCCAAGGCTGATCATTTATCAAGCACCTTAGAATAGAAAGTGAAATGATTTCTTAAAATATCATCATCTAATTTTATCTTTTTTTAAATATGGAATGACTCATGAATTTGCATGTCATTATTTTTTAAAAGATTTTATTTATTATGTATACAACATTCTGCCTTCACCTGTATCTGCAGGCCAGAAAAGGGCACGAGATCTCATTACAGAGGGTTGGGAGCCACCATGTGGTTGCTGGGAATTAACTCAGGACCTCTGGAAGAGCAGTCAGTGCTCTTAACCTCCAAGCCACCTCTCTAGGCCCTAAGAGTGACGTATTATATTATTACTTAAACAAGTCTGAGTCACAAAGTAAATGTTCAATAACGATTCTCTACAATCTAAAAGACTTTAAATAAAAGCGATTCATATCAAACATTAAAACATGCACATCAAATTCTATGCCAGAATTATTTGAAGATAAATTATATATGTGGTAACTTTACCCTACTGAAGTAACAATCTTTGGTAGGTACTACAGGATTTTAGCAAACATCTGATACACCAGAGAGTAAACTTGGTCATCGCAGCCATGCTCCACTGAAGTCACCTCTAGAGTCAGGGCTCGCAGTGTCTGCACCTTAGGCAGTTCCCAGAAAGACTCCTCACAACCATTAATAACATTTTGGTTAGGAAAAGTAATAAGAGGTACCATGTGTTTGTGCCAACTGCAGAGCATCTTTACTGTCTTGTAGACTCCCACCCGTGATCATAAACTGAAACGCAAGAAGGAGAGAAGCTGACTTCCGGGACCAGCAACGGCTCCCCAGACACCTCCCGCCAATCACTAAGAGCGCTCCACTCATCCTCCCCCCTCCCCTCCCCTCCCTCTACACCCCTCCTCAGTCTCTAACAGAGTGCTACCTGACTCCCATCCACACGCCCTCCCACAGGCTTCCTGTGTTAGACAGTAATGTGCATTCACGCATTTGCTTCCACTGGACCCCAAGCTTCCCGAGGACACGATTTATAGGTTATAGAAGACGGAACAGACAAAGACCTGCAAATTCAAAATTCTGTTCACTGAAATCAACGATCATGTAATTGTTGGTTAATTTAAGGAGTCTCCAGTATGAGCTGGGAACTTCCAGGAGGTCAAAACCGCTTTTGACAGAATACAACAGGCTTCTCGTCTTTTTCAGTCTTATTCAATCTCAAGGGTACAGGAAGGCTGCCCAGATGCTACTGATGTACAGTATTTCAACAGACTGACCCGAGAAATGACATGCAAATGCAGTGGTCTTAGTCATTCAGAGATGGCACAATGTAACATAATCCTTTGCTGCTAAGGTTTGTTCAGATAATCGGCATTTCTTATTAAAATAACACTGTCTATGTTATAGTTTACCATATTCTAAAATGAGTTGATATTTAAAATATTTCTGCTTTAATCCCTAATATAACATATATATAGTATGTACAACCCACATAAATGTTTTTTAGAGGATCCGCCATAATACTAAAGAAAGCAGAAGGGTTCGAAGACTAAAAACTGACACATTAATGTAGTGACAATTCTCTGTAAAGGGAAGGTGTGGCTCTTGAGAAGTCAGCACACTGCAGAAAGCCACTGGAGCCACTTGGGGTTAGGGCGCCATCCTTTTTTTTTTTTTTTTTTGGTTTTTCGAGACAGGGTTTCTCTGTGGCTTTGGAAGCTGTCCTGGAACTCACTTTGTAGTCCAGGCTGGCCTCGAACTCACAAAGATCCGCCTGCCTCTGCCTCCCCAGTGCTAGGATTAAAGGCGTGCGCCACCAACACCCGGCTTAGGGCGTCATCTTTGCTAATCTGTCAGACAACATCTACAGAGCCCAGTGCCAAGTGACTACCAAGGCAGTGTGTTCAAGGTGCAGTTTTCTAAAGGGTGCTTACTTTTAAAACATACTGCAAAGTCTCTCTAAGCTAAAGTAAAGAATCCCTTGTAGGTGCACACGGAAGAGAACGCACACAAAACAAAGGTGGGATTGCACATGAAGAAAAGAAACTGTCACACAGCAGCTGAGACCATTAGGGTGACCAGCCACTGAGCGCCCACACAGGGAATACACAGTCATGATTAAAATCTCAAATGTCCATAGAACATAGGACTTAAGAAATAGTAAGGGGGCTGGAGAGATGGCTCAGAGGTTAAGAGCACTGTTTGCTCTTCCAGAGGTCCTGAGTTCAATTCCCAGCAACTACATGGTGGCTCACAACCATCTGTAATGAGATCTGGTGCCCTCTTCTGATGTGTAGATGTAAATGGAGGCAGGGTATTGTGTTTGTAATAAATAAACAAATCTTAAAAAAAAAAGAAATATTTAGGGTATCAGGAAAAGTATTCTTTACTAACCTTATCTAATTCTTTAAAACTAGGCCGGCTGTCACATATAGATCTTCAATTCTGTAGGACAGTTTCTACTCAGATCTATGTCTGCTACCTACACCTTCTCTAAAAAGCCTACAAACGGAAGGGCAAGCCTAGGCCATGGTCTCCTCTCCCAGTGTACAATGTTCCTGATCTGGCAGTGGCAATGTCACCACATACACTGTGAAGAGGTGTCCATCTCGGTATTTTCTGTGGCCCAAATAACAACTGTGATGTCACCACGTACACCATGAAGACGTGTCCATCTCAGTATTTTCTGTGGCCCACATAACAACTGTGATGTCACCACGTACACCATGAAGACGTGTCCATCTCAGTATTTTCTGTGGCCCACATAACAACTGTGATGTCACCACGTACACCATGAAGACGTGTCCATCTCAGTATTTTCTGTGGCCCATATAACAACTGTGATGTCACCACGTACACCATGAAGACGTGTCCATCTCAGTATTTTCTGTTACCCACATAACAACTGTGATGTCACCACGTACACCATGAAGATGTGTCCATCTCAGTATTTTCTGTGGCCCAAATAACAACTGTGATGTCACCACATACACCATGAAGATGTGTCCATCTCAGTATTTTCTGTGGCCCAAATAACAACTGTGATGTCACCACGTACACCATGAAGATGTGTCCACCTCGGTATTTTCTGTGACCCACATAACAACTATCTTAGATACTTTTAAGAAATTCCTTTTCTATGGATGAGAAAACTGAAATCTAGACTATTCCAAGTCTCAAAGCTGGGAGGGAAGAAGTTGGGACTGGAAGCCAAGTGTATGACGCCAAAACCATGTTTCTAATCACCACAACTGCGGGGAAGGAACTGGAAAGTCCCAGTGCAATCCACCCGTTCCTTGTTTCTGCCTATGGTCTACACGAGTGTGTGTGTGTGTGTGTGTGTGTGTGTGTGTGTGCGTGCGCTCCACTAGAAACGGGTACAGTTCTCCTGCTGACATGGGGATACTTCAGTATCTACAGAAGAGCATTACACACAAATGATTTATCACAAGGGAGGGAACAAATGATGAAGAGTTCATATACCTTTGGTCCTTTCTAATTATTTTGAATAATCGATATAATTGTAGGGTTAGAGACTGCAGAATTTAACTAATTGTGTCCCGTTTTAGGTTTGAGGGTGTTTAACTTGGAAACAATAGTTACAAAGTGAATGGACACCATGCTGTGGAATATAACTCTGTAGCTTGTGTGTGTTACAAAGTCTGGTGTTTGTACAACTAATTTAGGGAAACAATGGAATATAACTCTATAGTGTGTGTGTCGTGCATAGTCTGGTGTTTGTACAACTAATTTATGGAAACACTAAGTGTGTGCCATTGACTTTCTCTTTACTCTGCAGCATTTTAACTAAAATTTATTTTAGAAACAAAGAAATCCAACAAAAACAAATTTCAGATGTTACCTTTTTAACACCAATCTGGATAGCTCTCTCTATTACATCTTGTAAGTCATCTGTGGAAGAAAAATCACACATTAAAACTTAGTAAACATATACAGAGATATTATCTATAATTTTTCTCTCAAAGTAACAATGCATAAAAAATAATCATGTACTAAAACACAGCCAAATCAGTGCTATTTAGTTGTAATATAGTAAAACTAGAGTTGCAAAAACTTACAAAAGTATAAAAAAGAAACTGAATAATTAATATATATATATATATATATATTTTGTTTTTTTGTTTTTTTGAGACAGGGTTTCTCTGTAGCTTTGGAGGCTGTCCTGGAACTCGCTTGGTAGTCCAGGCTGGTCTCGAATTTACAGAGATCCGCCTGCCTCTGCCTCCTGAGTGCTGGGATTAAAGGCGTGCGCCACCAATGCCCGGCCTGAATAATTAATAATTTAACTATACTTTTATTTTTGATCAAAAATGAGATAATGGAAGAACTCAGGAGGTCCAAATTAAAGATAAACTTAATGACTACAAATCAACTGATGTGCTGTGTATCTGAAATTTGTATTTGTGTGTATATGAGAGAGTGTGAGCGTGTGTGTGCCTGTGTGCCCACACATGTTTATAGGGTAGCGGGCAACACTGTGTCTTCCTCTAACACTGTGTATATCTTGAGACCCTCACTGAACCTGGAGCTCACTGTTTCAGATGGCCTGGCTAGCCAACAAGCCCCCAGGATCCGCAAAATAAAATATAAAAACTCCATTATTAATTTCATATTTAAGTAGCACAGTAAATGTAAATAGGATCAATTACTGTTACTTCTAAAGTAGCTACAAAATTTGAGACAAAAACACCTTAGCTAATTTATACTCATATGGCACCTCGGTTGGCTAGATTATACACTGCAGAACTGTAGGAGTGATAACTGACCAGTACATATGATGTCAGAAACACATACACAAGCGCACATGCATACATACGTGCAACGGCAAAGCATGAAATCTAAGTGCTATTAGGACTGCAGGCTGTAATTTACTCAGTAGTTACTTCATTATGTAAGTAACATAAAATCCCATCCAAACGTCTAAATGAAGCTAAGGTTTGTGGTGAGACCTGAGAAAACACTTGTTCTCTTGTTCCGAGTGACAGGAGCATCGTCTGTGTTCAGGAAAGCCACCCACCCTCTCCTAAAGAACACAGCACGGTCGGTTTCTGACTTGGCTTACACTGCACGGCGGTCTCTCTTCTGCAAGTACAAAGCCCACATTCCTGTCTGCACACACATAATGAGCTCTGGCAGGCTTCTCAAGCAGAGTGCAGACACGTCTGCGGCAGACATCCTGCTTTTAAAATGTGGCGTCACCGCCACTTCCTGCTTAGTCACCTCCAGCTAACCAACTAGGCCTCAGCCATGAACTTGTATGTGGGAGACCATGCCTAGTGACATGGCACTCATCTAAGCCTGTATCTGTCCCTGGCTTGTATTCTCAGGAGGGGAAAATGAACTTAGGTGATAACAAACAGCTTGCTTCTGGTGAGACCTACGCTTAATCTTTAGAACAACTATCTGGTCCCTCCTATATGCTAGGTCTCTAAGTGGAGACACAGGGAAGGGGAGAAAGGGATAAGACAGCAGAACACCTTTCTTCTGTTACCGTTTGTCCTGGGCTGGAAGATGCGTTCTTCCTTTCTAAAAGGTTTATTTTTTAATTGTGTGTGGGGGAGTAATATGTCTGTGTGTGGGTATGTGTCTGTATGTGGCTATGTGGTTGTATGTGTGTATCTGCTTATATGCTTATATGTGGCTGTTTGTCTGTATGTGTCTGTGTGTCAGTATGTGGTTATGTGTCTGCAAGTGGGTATGTGTATGTATATGTTTATGTGTGGATATGTGTGTATGTGTATATCTGTATGTGTGCATGTGTGTGTGTGTGTGTCTGTATGTGTGTATGTGACTATGTGTCTGCATGTGGCTATGTGGTTGTATGTGGTTATGTGTCTGCATGTGGCTGTGTATATGCGTGTGTGTGTGTGTCTGTATGTGTGTGTATGTGACTATGTGTGTGTGTGACTATGTGCACATGAATGCACATGCTCTCAGATGCCAGCAGAGGGCTTCTGGGGCTTGGGGGCTGGGCTTACAGGCAGCTGTGAGCTGCCCAGTGTAGGCGTGGGTGCTGGGAACTGGACTGGGGTCCTCTGCAAGGGTGTTAAGTGTTCTTAACTACGGGGCCGCCTAGAGCCCCTGAAAATACTTAAGAACATGACACACTGGTGCTCACAGGAGGGAACTGTTAGGTTGCATGCTCTGTTGTTCAGGACATGGTTTACCAACACGATTTGTTTGACTTTATTGTTTTACCTGACATACAACGATGGATTTTGTTTTCAAACAAGTTCTCACCGTGCAGCCCAGGCTGGCCTCAAACTTGCTCTCCTCTTTCCTCTACCTGAGTGCTGCGCTTTTATCAGGTACCCAGAGTTCTTTAATGTTTCCATTTTAAGAGTGGAATTTCAAGATATAGTTTGTCTTCATAGAAGTCACCTCAGTAAAAGGGACATTTACCTTGATGCTTCTGCACCCCCCTGTAAATTCCTCTGAACATGGGGTCTGTCAGGTTGATACCAATATCTGGAGAAAGCAAAAGCAAAACATAATCACTAAGAGCATTTACCTGAAACATCTCTAAATAAGCTTTTCATTCACACCTTCATTTATCCAAACGATATCAATGGGCTGGCCGCTTGTCATCACTACTATGATAAATGTGTGGGACACAGAAACACAGATGTGATTTCTACTCTCTAGAGACTTATGGAGAAGTAACAAGGCAGACCTAGTCACAGGAAATGATGGAGCATTCGGATGAACGCCAGAGGGACAGGAAAGCTCATTGGGGATAGAATTAAAATACGTCATATACACATATGAAACTGTCAATAAGTAACATTTTCTAAAATACTAAGAACATAATATTAAAACATTTAGTATGGGACACAGACAAGGAAGTCTACCATAGAGTTTGGTGGCAGGCTCAGAAGGGGGTCACAGAAAGAAATAACCTGGAACTGTATGTCACAGATGAGTTAGTGTGGTTTGGATGAAAACCGCCCCCATAGGCTCCGTTGGTGGAACTGTCTGGGAAGGACAAGCAGGCATGGCCTTGAGGAGGAGGAGGTGTGTCACTAGGGATGGATTTCAGGTTTCAAAAGCCCATGCCACCCCCCAGACAGCGTTCTCCGTTATTTGGGGAGAACATGTGAGCTCTCAGCTAGTGATCCTGAGCCGAGCCTGCCTGTCTGCCGCTGTGTTCCCCGCCGTGACGGTGGGTGACTCCCTCTGGAACTGTAAGCCCCGATAAATCTTGTCTTTTCTAAGCTGCCCTGGCCATGGTGCCTTTTCACAGCAACAGAAACGTGACTAAGCCTCCGAGGTTTCAGGGTAGGAAACGGTTCTTTAGGAGGGTAAAGCTTTCCCAGCTGCTGAAGAGAAGCACAGGAAGGGTCTAGCAAGAAAGGCTAAATCCAGTGTGGCACGCACTAGTGTTTAAAAATACTGGGTTCAGCAGGATGCCTGATGGTTTTTAATCAAAGGGGCAAGATTCGCACTGAAGACACTCATTCTGGCACACTGGGAGTTGAGATCTGAAGAGAGCCTAAGAGCTGAAGGCAAAGGGCATTCTAAGCACAGGTGAGTGTGGAGTGTGTGTGTATGTGTGTGCGTGTGTTGTGTGAGTGTGTGTATATGTGCGTGTGTACATGTGTGTATGTGTGTGTGTGTGAGTGTACATGTGTGTGTGCGCACAGGGCAGGGACTCTCAGGGAGAAACTCCGCCACACCTCACTGCTCTCAGCCCCGCTTCTCACACCTTCCAATCGACAATGTCTGGATACATCTTGGGGTGTCGCACATGACAGGGATGCTGCTGGCATCTACAGCGGAGGCTGTGACTGCTGCGAATACGCCATGGTGACAGAATTGTCCAACCCACCACACCAGTGGTGCTCTTGGTAAAGCTTGTAAAAGGACAAGCTGAGTAAGGTGAGAAATCCTGCCCTCAGCTCCTGGCAGCCGCAGCTGCCTAGCAGAGATCGCCACACTCCTGGCTTCTGCCAAACGTCAGGCTCTTATGTTCTCTCCTGGCTTACGCCAAGCTGCACCTGAGGATGACAGACCTTGAGAGGCGAACAGGGGTTTGGAGAACCAAGAGGAAACAAAGAGAGAATCCTAGGCATCTGAACCAGAAAGAAAGACACTACAGAATATTACAAATATGTGTGCATCAGCATGCCAACAGAGATGGATGAGGTTATGAATCCCTCCTCCACAGGAGGGTCACTTTGATACAAATACTGTGATAGAAACGGGATACTATGATAGCATTACCTTGTAGGAGGGCTAGTCTGGTACAAACACCATCTAACACACAAATCCATGCCTCAAATACAGTAGGTTTATGGAATGCCAGAGCTCACAGGAAGAAAATCAGGTAAAGAAGACAAGCTCAGAATGAAGCAGGGAGGAAACAGTCCTTTCCATCTAAATCCTGCCTTCGGGTTTGGTCTACAGTTACTAGTCACCATCCAACACCAACGATTAAAAAACAAAAATAGCCTTTATCACTTTTAGCCTTTTCTAGCTCATTTCATTTTTTTTAACCAGTGTTTTAAAAATTCATTAAGATATGTTTATTAAGGTATTTGTTTGTGACACCCATTAATGAAAGCGAAGGGGACATTATTTGAGAGGGATTATTGCAATGAGGCTTTGCTTTGTTTAGGTTTGGCTTTTTAAATCGGACACACTACTTGGCCCAGACTAGCCTCAGACTTGTGAGGATACCTCTGCCCGTGTGTAGCAAGGCTGGGGCAGAGACATGGCCACAACACCTGGCTATGATGAAGGTTCCGCAGGAGAGATCAGGTGCAAACCGCAAAACAGGGCTAAGTAGAGATTTGGAGCCAAGGGTAGGGGATCATTGGGTAAGCTTCTAACGGCCATTGGGTATGAGGAAGGAGTCTAACTGAACTCAACTGGACTCACCCTGCTGAGGGTGGACCCCAGTGACAGGAGTACTGAGGGTGAGGGGTGAGGAACTGGAGGGGATACACACCAGGGTGAGGCTTGTCACTAAACTGACTCGCTATGAATCTTGGTAAAACTGAACCTCTGAACCACAAGCTCAATGTTGGGGTCCGGTCAAGAGGCCAATTCAAGGACAGTGAGGCTCCAGTTTCTTCAAGGAAGTCTTCTTCATCAGTAAAGGGATCAATACTTTCCCTTCTCACATAAATACCTGTACTGGCTGGTTTTGTGTGTCAACTTGACAGAGCTAGAGTCATCAGAGAGGAAGGAGCCTCAGCTGAGGAATTGCCTCCGTGAGCTCCAGGTATAAGGCGTTCTCTCAATTAGTAACTAATGGGGGAGGGTACAGTCCAAGGTGGGTGGTGGCATTCCTGGGTTCTACAACAGGCTGAGCGAGTCAGAGGAAGCAAGCCAGTGAGCAGCTCCCCTCCATGGCCTCTGCATCAGCTCCTGCCTCCAGGTTCCTGCCCTGTTGAGTTCCTGTCCTGACTTCCCTCAGTGATGAGCAGCATTGCTGAAGTGTGAGCTGACTAAACCCTTCCCTCCCCAACTTGATCTTGGTACCAGTGTAGTGGGCTATTTCTGTGACAGACATGACCATGTCTGGGGAGGACTGGGAAGGACTTTGGAACTTTGGGCTAGAAGAGCCATTGAGTGTTGAGAGCTCAGTGGGCTGTTCTGTGGGATCTGGAAGATAAGAACGTTGAGGGTAGTGCAGACAATGGAGGCCTGGCTTGTGGGGTTTCAGAGGGAAGTTGAAAGACTCCATCAGGGCCATTTGTTATTTTGAATTCAGATCTTGTAGTTCGGTGAGCTGGGATGAAGAATCAGCTGTGATTACCAAGATACCAGAACTACTAAAGCGAAACTTTGCTGTGCTGGGATGCTTGATGCTGGTCGGCTGGAGCTAAGAAGTTAAGGAGAGACCAGCATCCCTGTGATGAAATCTTCTGGGAAGCGTCTTCTCCACAGAGAAGCTATGCTCCAGAGGTGGTCCCGGTTGTGCTTTGTGCTGGCAGCAGGACTTGGTAATGTGTAGGAGTCACCAGGTGGTACTAGTTTTGAAGACAACCAGGAAGTATGAGCCAAATAAATCCTTTCCTCCCCAACCTGCTTTTTTGTCACCGTATTTTGTCACAGCAATAGAAACCCTAGACAACCCCCCCCCCACAACTCTAATTGAAGAGAACTGACGCCGGGCGGTGGTGGCGCACGCCTTTAATCCCAGCACTCGGGAGGCAGAGGCAGGCGGATCTCTGTGAGTTCGAGGCCGGGCTGGACCGACAGCCTCAAAAACAATACAGAGAAACCCTGTTTCGTAAAAAAAAAAAAAAAAAAAAAAAAGAGAGAAAGAGAGAGACCTGAAGATTAACTGGAAGCTCGGCTTAGGAAGCCATCTTCAACTTGTCCCAATCCTAGGCAGAGCAGATCTCAGATATTCTACAATGCCCACCCTGAGGCAGAGGGCAGGTTGACCCCAGGTGATTTACTTCCCTTGAGAGTTGTTCTCTCTCAGGCTTCCAGTTCTGAGCCATGTGGACTTCATTCAGCCTGTAGACTCAGTCCTGGCTCAGGTGTACCAGAGTTCTCGTTCTCAGACACCTGCTTCTTCCCTTCCCACAAGACTCGTCACGGCTCACGTCCTCAGCCCTTTCCTCTCTGCCAGTTATTAGAGCTGCTGCTTCTTTGATAAACAGACTAAGGACAACCTCTTCATGTCCTCACCAAGTTTAATGTCACCCTGAATCACCAGTTTCCTCTAAGGCCTGCTCTAGTCTCCCACACAAAATGCTCTCAGACAGAAACCACGTCCTAGCCTGCCCGCCCGCCCACCAGAAACATCTGTGGAAAGACGACAAAAATTCAGCCCTCTGACCCAGAGGAACCAGAGAAAAGTTCAGAAGAATTGACTAGGAAGAGTTCGATCCTTGAACAAGGTCTAAGAAGTACAATAGAATGAAACAACTATAATTACAATATGGAAAGAAAGTAAGCATTGGAGTCAGAATTCTTGCCACGGTCAGTTGTTAGCCGAACAGGATTGGTCCCTGCTGAGTCTCCATTATCTTCCTGGTGAGTGAGTAGAATTATCCTTCTGACACGGACTATGACTCAAATCCAAGGATGAAGATGAAAGCACTGTGCACATGAGAAGCCCTATAACAGGTAATGATTACCATCACCAAACACAACACAAAACTGTGACATGCCAACACCGTATGGAATTTACATTGTTTTGTTAGCATCTTCAGGACTCAATGCTCCCAATGCAAAACGGTTATCCAAGAGCCAACTGAGTCAAGCTGACTCCCCGCCACCATGAGTACATGTATGAATATGTGTATTAGAGTTCACATGCACGTACGCAGATGGGTGCTCCTGTGTGACCCTGACAATGATGCTGGGAGTGTCCACTTTCACTTTCTCCACTGAGGCAGGGTTTCTCAACTGACCCCAGGACTTGCCCCTACAGCTGGTATCCGGGTTAGCGTGGAGATCCTCTGCCTCCCAAGGTCCAAAACTACAGGCAGGCTGCCATGCCCACCAGGGTGGAATTTGGGGGATCTGAATTCTGATCCTCATTTTAACCATTTAACTATCTCCCCAGATCCCTGTCTATTTTGATGGAACCTCAGAAAAAAAAGCAGTTAAAATCCTATTTATTTTGCTTGTTCACAATGTGCTGATCTATGATAACAGATAGTATCTTTTAAATTAAAAGCATTCTTATCAGAAGTATGCTTATCAGCCATTAACTCAAAAGTAAACAAATACTGCTGGGCAGTGGCAGTGCATGACTTTAATCCCAGCACCTGTGAGGCAGAAGCTGGCCCGGTCTACAGAGTGAGTTTCAGGATGACTAGACCCACAGATAAACCCATCTCAAAATAAATAAATAAAACAAATAGCATATAAAAACCAACTTCTGGACAGTTCCGTCAAAGATTTAAACAGCTTGAAAAGCAAAAAACCAAGTGAGAAGGACTGTAAGTCACAGTTAACACGAGCAACCCTTCTAACTGAAGGATTCATACAATGGAATGCCCTGCTATATAGGACAGTAATGTCTCCATTTTATTAGCTTTTAAAAATAGCTGTCTTAGATCAAGTTCTAGGACAGCCAGGGTTACACAGAGAAATCCTTCTCAAAAGAAAAAAAAAAGGCTGTCTCCAATAAAAACTACAAGTATTGACGAGTTTATTTTTCAGAACAGAAGTGGGAAAGTGTTTGCACAGCTGGTCTCTCAGAAAGCCGTGTCTGCAAGCTACAGCCTCATTGGTTGGGCTTGGTGAATCATGTCAAACGATGTCACCTATGATCTAGGGACACAGAGAGACAGCAAACAAGGGATTTTAAATGGTTTTGGATTTGTTAGCCTTGAGGTTTAATTTCCTGGCCAGGAACTCCCCAGCATCAGAGATCAAGGGACTCACACCACTGTTTAGCAAACAGACAAATCCAAAAAGTGGGGCGACCAGCCCAGTTTCTCCAGCAAGTCAGGGACAAAAAATACATAAACTAACAAAATGATGCTAGAGCAGGGGACCCCGAACTCCTCCCTGCAGCTCTGTCCTCTTGCTGATGGCGTCACTGTGAGACATGGCACGGGCTCCAGCCTCCAACCCAGTGGGTTGGAGTTACAGGTGTGCCGTACAATGTCCAGCTTTACTGCCTGCTTTGTTTGCCCCTATACTAATAATGGCTGTGCGTTTTAAGTTGCTTTTACCAATCAACAGGATGTTTTGTTACTTGTGGACATTACTGAAAAGAACAAGATTCAGGGGCTGGACAGATGGGTCAGAGGTTTCGAGTCCTTGCCGCTCTCCCAGAGCACTCAGGTTGGGTTCCCAGCACCCACATCAGGTGGCTCCCAACTGCCTGTGACTCTAGCTTCAGGGGGTCTGGCCCCCTCTTTTGGTCTTCATAGGTACCCATACACACATACCCACTCCCACATGGATGAAATAAATCAAATTTTCTAAGTTCAAGATTTAATGTCTATAAAATTTTATTGGAGCAGGAACACACTAACTTGTTTATATACTAAGACTGCTTTCGAATAACAAGGCGTAAGACAAAAAAAATACAAACAGCTTTCTCTGCTAAACTCTCACATCTACATTAAAATATATTTTAAACTTTATTTTAACAAAGCATTGCAAGTTAAAAAAAGAAAACTTGACACTCTATTTAATCTGTATTATCGCTTCACAAAAGAAAGTCTCCTTGCAAACCCCTGCAAACCTCCTTCTTTTTAGTTCTTTGGATCAAGAACCTAGAAACACCCAGCCTAGACTCCAACAACCAGCAACAGCATGGAGACTGCAGAGGTAAGGAGAGAGGGCTCTGGTGCCCTCTCCAGGACACGCCACTTCCTAGCTCCTCATGCCAAGCATCCCAGAACACCCAACCTTCACCTCATTTTTTTTTTTTTTCAGACAGGGTTTCTCTGTGGCTTTGGAGGCTGTCCTGGAACTCGCTTGGTAGTCCAGGCTGGTCTCGAATTTACAGAGATCCGCCTGCCTCTGCCTCCCGAGTGCTGGGATTAAAGGCGTGCGCCACCAACGCCCGGCTTCACCTCAAGTTTTTAACCTGTTAATATTTTCCCTCACATTGGCTTTGCCTGGTCATAGGACTTCATCTCTTTAGTGTGAAAATGAACTCACTACGAGATTTCTTACAGTTCCAGTGACTTGGATAGAATGCCTTTGGAAAATGCATTGCTTAAATTTTTTCTCGGGTCTTAGTATGTAATCTTAACCACTCTCGAGTGCCCGACCACATTTCTAAGTGCCTGGATGATGTATCCGCTTGGATGTCTTTTAAGGCTCGACCGAATTCAATAGACCTGAGTGGCCCTCCCCTCTACTGCCACGCCCGTGACGCTTCCGTTTCAAATTCGGGTATTTCCCAGCCTGTGGTCTTTGGGTGTGTCTTGTCCACAAACACGTGTCAGAAGCTGTGCACACCTGTCCCACTTCTCTTCACTGCCCCAGTCAAAATCTGAGGCACTTCTGTTCACACCTCTCTTCATCGGCCACTAAATCTACGCAGTGACTATCAGGGTAACCTCGTCCCTGCCACTTCCCACCCTTAAGTAGCTGGAAATTCCACAAAGTCAAGGTTCATGCTGAAACTACCCACAACTGCACCCCAGAGGGCATGGCTTTTGTCACATACGCGGCACACGACGATTTCCTGAAAACCCTTCACTGAAACGCCACCCCACAGAGTGAGACTTAAGTAACGGTCCTAGTCATCCTTCCAACCCCACCTCTTACAATGTCGCCCGAGTTTTCCAAAGTACCATTCTGAATGCCTGCCGCCCTCTCCCGCTGTTGAATGGATGTTGCCAGGTAACGCAATGTTTCTTTTCCACCTGTCTGTGGACTCTGGTTCATCATTGGATGGCGATTCCAGCAACGCTGGACCACGACCCAATGCCAAGCCTATCGGAGTCGTCTGTGGTTGTTTTGTTTCTTTGTTTTATTTTGTTTTTTGGTGTGTGTGTGGTTTTTCGAGACAGGGTTTCTCTGTATTGTTTTGGAACTCGCTCTGTAGACCATGATGGTCTCGAACTCACAGAGATCCGCCTGCCTCTGCCTCCCGAGTGCTGGGATTAAAGGCGTGCGCCACCACTGCCCAAATATTTTTTTTTTTTTGCTTTTTTCCTTTTTGTTTTGTTTGCGGCATGAGCGGATGGCTGAGTGGGGCGGCACCTTGAAGGCACTGTCCGGAGGGCCATGAAGAGAAGTGAGGGGGTCACGAAAGCCTGGGGGCGGCGCTTTCTTCTTCTTTTCTGGGGATGAGGGGCTCGGGGGCTGGCCCAGGCTAGCCCAGCATCTACCGCTGGCACGCGCCCCGCCGCTCATCCCCGTCTCTTCAGGGAGACAGAACACACACAGGGCACCCGTGACAGCCGCCACCCGCGGGCGTCCGCACGCACGGGCGCACGCGCAGGAAGAGCATCCCCGGGCAAGACCCGATCGCTCGCTGCCGGCGCCCGGGACGTCCCCGGAACCCCCTGCCCCCTCGAGAGGCCAAGCCGCGGGGAGGGGACGCGAGAGCGCCAGCGACGGCCCCCGGCCCGGGACAACCCGCCCTTACCCACGAACTTGAAGCGACTCATGACGGCGCAGCGCGCTCCTCCCCGGCGGAAGCGGAAGTGGCCCGGAGCACTCTCGACCGCCCCTTCCGGGTCCAACCCCCCCCGCCCCGGATCCGCCCCCGGCCGCTCCTTCCGGGTTCCGGGCGGCCGCTGAAGGTTGAGCCGGGCGCCATGGCGTTCTGCGCGCCCGCCGCCTACCTGAGCCACCAGCAGAAGGTGCTGCGGCTGTATAAGCGCGCGCTGCGCCACCTCGAGTCGTGGTGTATCCACAGGTGGGCACCGGGGCGCGGGGGAAGGACGCCCCGCGGGCCGGGACGCCGAGCACGGGGCGCGCCCTTGACCCGGTGCAGCCCGGGCTGCGTCTCGAGGTCGCGGGGACGGCTTTGCGGGGCGGGACGGAGGGTTTGCATGGAAAAAGGAGTAGAAAGATTGTCGTCGTTCGGGGCCCAACGCCAGCGTGTCCGCGACCCCGTCGTCCCCGGTGTTAACGGTGACACGTACAGGATTTTAGCTTGCAGGCTGGCTTGGGCGTTAGCGATTCTTTTAGTCGTATCCTGCAGAGAGAGGAGCAGGCCGAGGTTGTTCAGCTTCTGCGCGGCCAAGCTCGGGCTGAGATCTCGGTTTCTGACGCAGAAGCATCGTCTCTTCTGTATTTATCTGTACCCGATCGCTCCTTCTCCATTATGGCCGCGTCGTCCTCGCCGCCTACGTAAATCTATTCCTTTAGCCGACTGTGACTGTTCTTACTGTGAAGAGCCGCGTAGGGTGGTGGCCTGTGCCGGGGCAGACAGAGGTAGCCTCGGTTACATAACGAGTTTGAGGAGCCAGCCTGTTTTACCAATAAACAGAATAACAGTATAGTGTTGAAACACGTAGAATTTCATGGCCTAAAAGAAATGAAAGGTGGGTAAATGCTAGACCGCCGCACTCTTACACTAAAGCCTAGTCTTACATGAAGCACTTCCGAGAAAATGATGGAAAGCTGAGTAGCCCTGGAATGCCCACGGAGTGTGTCCCTGAATCCCTGAATGCAAGTTCGCGATTCTGTCTCTTTGTTACGAAGGCGGGGCTGTGTACAGTGTTGCACAATTGTTAGCTTCTTTCCTAAGGATTATAACAGTTACTGCTTTTTAAGTTTTGGTTCCCATGGATTATTGGGCAGAGTGACAGGTAAACACATAGAAAACAGAATTATCAGTCTTCAAAAGAAGCTAGAGCCTTCAGGAATCCAGGGGATGCTGTATACACGTGGACATACAGGGGTTCATAATCATGAAGGGAATGATCAAACTAGCTAGTGTGACGAGGCTGGCCCAAAGTATTTTAAACCTGACACCCTTTCTCAGTCCGCTGAATGGCTTCCTTTAAAAAACAAACTACGGATCCAGATGTCACATGTGTGAAAGTCAGAGGACAACCTCGACCTTGCACCTTGCTGGGGACGGGGTATGCCCTAGCCTGCCCACAAGCTTCTGGAAGTCTCCTGTCACCTCCTCTCATTTTGAGGAGGATTGGGAGTACCAATGTGTGCTCCGTGTCCAACTTCACCTGGGTTCTGGAGCTCCATAGTTGGGTCCCATTGCCCGCACGGTTCTTTAGCTACTGAGCCGTATCTCCCTGGCCCTGGTTTGCCTCCTGGGCTGTTCTCTGGTTCCATCCTAAGATGTGTGTATCCTGTGGATATCCTCAATGCTGATTATATTCTGAAGCGGCATTACTAGCAATTCAGTCAGTAGTCTTAGACATGTCCTCCAGGACGCCCTAGCTTCCTGTGTATCCTGCCAGTAACACACACTTCATGCATCCTGCCTTTACTGGACTCTGCTTCTCGGACGTTATTTTCTCCTAGTAATGCCTGCTGTATCACTGGGCTCGTGAACTCTGCCGACCACTGTGTGAGAAGTGCTTTTGTCCTTCAGCTCACGGGGTCTTTCTGTCGGTCTTTAGATACATTACGTAGCTAACCCAGTCTCTGAACCCCGTTTAACCCTGATGTAGAGAGGCTCACACTCACACCTTGGTCTTCTAGACGGGTATTTGTTTGTTTTTCCATGCCTTGTCTGCTGTTGCAGCTCCCTGATTTAGGCCCTTGCCATCTGCCCCAAACTGTCATCAGAGGCTCCTGCTGTCTGCTCACAGGGTCGTCAACACCAGACTGTTACTTACCTAAGGTTCGTGAGCAGTGTGGACATCACCATTTAAGGACCGGATTGGAGCAAAGGTCTTTCTGCCGGGTCATACCTCCCTTCTTAGTCTACTATGCGTCTCCAGGGTTTGGCAGAGCACCCAGCAGCACAGGATGGGAGGACCTGCAGGGAAGGCGTACTGAGCAGTCCTGCAAAGGCTGCTGCCTCCCTTTCCCCTTCCCATCAAAGCCTCGCTCCGTGGAGGAGAGAGGAAGTGGCCAGGCTGTGCTGATGCAGTGTCTGCTGTTGCTGTCTGGAAGGCTGCAGATGAAGCAGCCGCTTGGGAGGTTGATGGGGTGCTGGAAAGTTGCTCGTCTGGGGTGTGTTTGTAGGAGTGCTGACCTCCCCACCAGTTAGGTAACTGTCCTGATGTCCATCCACACCCGCTCTCATTTAAGGGAGAAGTACCGGTACTTCGCCTGTCTGCTGAGAGCCCGGTTTGAAGAGCATAGGGATGAGAAGGACATGATGAAGGCTACGCAGCTGCTGAAGGAGGCAGAGGAAGAATTCTGGCAGAATCAGCATCCTCAGCCGTATATCTTCCCCGACTCTCCGGGCGGCACCTCCTATGAGAGATACGAGTGTTACAAGGTGGGTGACGCCGCCCATACACGGCAGCTGCTCCTCGAGAGCCCCGCTTTGTCCCCGTCCCGGACCTCAGCTCTGCGTTCCGTGTGCCATTTGAGCAGTGGCCAAACCCGTGACAGCTGAACTTTTCCTCTCTCTTCATAAAGTCAGCTCTAAGCTTCTGCAGCGTCCGGTTAGCAAAGCCCAGCGTTAAAGTATTTGGTACATAACTAGTCAGTTTGGATTGGTGCTGAGCACTGCAGAGATACTCGGGAAATGCGTCCATAATTCTTGGTGCTTTGGACACGCAAGCCAGAGAGGAAGGATGGCAGCTTTCTCGGACTAACTGTAATGTGTGCGCCATGTGCCCCTTCCTCTGAGGCGCCCTCTCTAACCTCCCGTGTCTGCTGGCCCTCTGCTCTTCATTGCTGAGAGTTGGAAACAGTGACAGTACCAGTTTTACACACGCACACACTCACATGCGCACACACACAGTGTGTGATGTACTTGCAGAGGCCAGAGGTAACTTGGGGTGTCTTCTTCAGTTGCTCCTCACTTTCTGAGACTCACTGAACCTGGAGCCCACGCCTCCTGCCAAGCCGGGTGGCCAGTGAGCGCCAAGGACCCAACGTCGCTGGCATAGCAGGTGCTTATCACCGTGCCTGCCTTTCCAGGCTCTCAGACTAGAGTGACAAGTACGTCCCCAGCCGAGCCATAGCTGGTAGGAAGAGCCCCCGAGTCTGTCTCCTGTCTCCCGAGCAGGCGTTGTCCGTGGTGTTTATGAAGGTGGCCCGTGGAATAACATGACTTTCTCTCCCGGCAGGCTCCGGAATGGCTCTTAGATTACTGGCACCCTTCTGAGAAAGCAGTGTATCCTGATTACTTTTCCAAGCGAGAGCAGTGGAAGAAACTGAGGATGGAAAGCTGGGAGCGGGAGGTACGTCCTTCCCCGTGCGCCGTAGCACGCGGATGCGTGGCGTCGCCTCTGTGCTGAGGTCCACATCCCAGCCGCCACAGCTGTGTCAGTTCCTCGCTGGCCGGCTTCCCCGCGGAGGTCCACATCCCAGCCGCCACAGTTGCTCTAGTTTCTACTGTGTCAGCTCCTCGCTGGCCGGCTTCCCCGCTGTCTCCCTCCGTGGTGTGCCCCGAGCATCTCTGTTCTCTCATGTCTTTCCCTCCTCCCGCTTCCTGGATTCATGTGTTCTGTCCGGTTCCCCTCCTTCCTCTGCTCTAGAGCCCTAGGCAGCTTTCCTCATTCAGCGGACGGTGTTCGCAGTTAGGTTTTAGTGCCCTTCCATCGTCTGAGTGGACATGCGGAGCCCACTTTAGGGCTAGCGTAGTAGTTTAGTGGAAAGGGTGTGTGGCTGCTCTGTGGGCGGAAATAGACTTTCAGGATGTCTCCTGGGGGGGTGTTCATTGGTGGGGTGGGGGGCAGGTGATGGCGGTGGTGAAGATGGGGAAGACTGGTAACGTAAGGGAAGTCCGGGGGCTCACCGGGACAGCCAAACATTGGGGAGGGCGAAGTCTGAGGGTCGGCAGACGTGAGGAGAGATTCCAGTTGTGTAGATTTGTGCGTTTTCACTTGTGTTTAAACTGTAGAGTGATTGAGACCCTTGAGGGATGTTATGTAAATGCGTTCAGGTTAAAAGCTTTGAGGGTGAGTCCGCTTCTTCAGTGTCCTGAGAAACAGCCCGGGGAGGAGCGCGTGGCGGGTGCAGAAGAGCTGTGTGGGATTTGGAGAGGGTGAACCCGCAGGGGGAAAGTGGGCTTGTCAAGTGACAGTGGTGGCCCCTTTGACACTGGGTAAGCCATGGACAGTGGTGGCCTATTTGACACCAGGTAAGCGATGGACAGTGGCGGCCCATTTGACACTGGATAAGCCATTGGTTTGTTCCAGTATTTTCTCCTAGCTATACTGAGCTGCTGGGTCCAGTTTGCACATTTAACTGTCTTTCTCTTTTTGGTTTTTCAATATGGGGTTTTTCTCTGTAACTCAGGAGTCAGAGGCAGGCAGATCTCTGTGAGTTCAAGGCCAGCCTGGTCTACAGAGTGAGTTCCAGAGTTTCAGAACAGCTAGGACTGTTACACAGAGAAACCCTGTCTCGGGGGAAATAAAAGTTTGGTGGTGAACAGCGGGCTTGCTCTACAATGATCACTGGGAACCTCTGGCTTCCTCCCTTTTCTGCTTGATTCTACCTTAGCCCGTGCTGTGCACAGATGAGCTTTGACTATAGTCCCGTCCCATGAGGACAGTGACCTAAGAACCCTACAGTAGGAATTGTTGGGCAGCATCAGGCAGGACAGAGTTCACTTTTCATGTGACTTCACCTGAATTCTTGTGATGGAACTCACTCTGTAGACCAGGCTGGCCTCAAACTCATAGACATCCACCTGCCTCTGCCTCCCAAGTGTTGGGACTAAAGGGTGCACCACCACCACCCAGCTTCTCAGGAACTTCTGAATTTGCGTCCCTACTACCCCTGAACTGGGCTTTAGCTTCCTCAGTGTTTTAGGAGAGCACTTAGAGAAGATGGGGGACCAAGACGAGGAGTCAGGAAGGTGCCTGTGACTTGGCTTAAGGAGGAAGAGGTGGAGTGACCAGCTTGCCGGCGCTAAAATTGAATAGAACACTTGCCTGGTGCGCCGCTGACTACCGCAGTGGGAAGAGCCAGGCAGGAAGACTGAGGAGTTAGAGGCCAGCCTGGGCTACATTGCAAGATCCAGGCCAGTAGAGGCAGCTCCATAGGAAACCCTGCCTTCAAGGAGTTTCCTCATTTGTCCAGTCAGATGTGGGCACGATGCAGGCTTGTATGAAATAAACACTTCTTTTTTTTTTCTTTTTTTTTTTCTTTTTTTTTGGTTTTTACGAGACAGGGTTTCTCTGTATTGTTTTGGAGGCTGTCGGTCCAGCCTGGCCTCGAACTCACAGAGATCCAACTGCCTCTGCCTCCTGAGTGCTGGGATTAAAGGCATGCGCCACCACCGGCCGGCGAAATAAACACTTCTTGATGCTGACACGACACAGGTGGGCTGTCATGTGACCACGGCAGCCGCGGCTTACCGTTGGAGTCCTTTGGTGATCGCCCCTTCCTTGTCCCTTCCAGGTTAAGCAGCTGCAGGAGGAGATGCCACCTGATGGTACCATGACTGAAGCTCTGCCTCCCGCCAGAAAGGAAGGTGACTTGCCCCCATTGTGGTGGCATATTGTGACCAGACCTCGGGATCGGCCCGTGTAGACACAGGCGCTCACTGTTAATGCTTGCAAGTGAGAGAGACACTTTAGAGAGCATGCTCCCACTTGCCCTAATAAAACTAACTAAACATGGTCGGCTGTGGCTGAGGTGTTCTTCCAAGGATTACTGTGGCTTGGTTTTTATCATATATACCATGTTTTTAAAGACTACATGTAGAAGTGTGTTGATAGCGCGTGTGTAAGGAAAAACTTTGTAGTGGAACAGATGCGACACTGTTAGGACCAGGCTGACGTGTTCTTTGTCTGTGCAGCCGGGCACACGTGTGCAGGGCAGGGAACCATTCAGGGGTCGTTTGCCATCCGTCTTTGAGTCGAGGTCTCTCATGCATGGCTGCACCCAGCTCAGTGGGCTCTGGGGCTCTGGACCTAGGTCCTCGCAACTGCCTTGTTGTCCTCCTGTTAAGAGAAGCTTTTTCTTTGCTAGCCGCTTTGGTTTATCCCCCACCAGCCTTCTGGGCTCTGCCACATTCTAGTCCCCAAATAAACACACAGGAGGCTGTATTAATTATGAAGCTGTTGGCCTTGCTTGTCTCTTACTGGCTAGCTCTGCTTTAAGTAATTACCCCATAATTGTTAATCTAAGTATGTCTCTTACCGGAGAATAGTTCTGGGCTCCTACCCCCATGGCGGTTACATGTTGACTCTCTTGTGTTTCTCCTACCCAGAATCCTCCTGGATTCCTAGCCCCTCCTATCTAGGTTTTCTATTGGCCAGACAGTACTTTATTGACAAATGCACAGGCAAATAACAGGACTTCCCCAACATCCTCCGAGCCATCCACCTCCCTAGCCCAGCTGAGCTGAAGGTTAGAGTGAAGAGAGGAGAAGAATGAGGGCTTCAAAAGCCGTGAATGGTGTCTCAGCGAGCGCCCCACTCGCCAGCACTGCAGGCGTACACTACCACCCCTAGCTACCTTCTCGGTTTTCTGAAGGTTTTCCTAACAGGATCTGAGTCATGGAAACAGCAACCCTGAGCAGCGCACGGGAGGCGTGGAGTCCAGGGCATCCCGGAGATGGAGTGCGGGTTTGATGGCTGGGGCGAAGGGCCTCATGTGGGATGCACAGGCCCCCAGCTGTGCATCCTCTGCTGAGCATGGGTTGTTTGCGGTCAAAGGTCAAAATATAGTAGATGTTGTAACGTGTGGGGAGCCTTGGATCCCATGGCAGGCCAGGGGACAAACATCCCAGGCAGACAGCTTAAGTGAGAAGTTTTGTTGGAAAGGGGAGGAAGGGGGAAGGAAAGAGAAAAGAGGTAGAGACAGAGAGGACAGAAGAGGAGACTGGAAAAGTCCTGTGTGCCCCAAGGGAACAGCGGGAAATAGCATAAGTGGGTGGGGTCTGTCTTTTAAAGGGGTGCTTTGCACCTGCGTGTAGACTTAGTACTCATGGAACTCTGGGCTGACCAGAGAGCTGCCTGAGTACATTCTGCCAGGTGACAGGGGCAGGCCAGCATAGTGCCTGAGTCCTTATAGTAGACCTTTTTTAATATTCCAAGAAGCTACTTTTTTTAGAAAGTAAAGCAGAGAAGGCCAGGAACCAAGCCTGTTTATCCCCATATATGTTCAGGAGAGAACCGACGCCCACAGACTGTCCAGTGACCTCCATACACACCATGACACACAAGCCAGCATTTTTGTTTTTATTTCAAGACAGGCTTTCTCCGTGTAGTCCTGGCTGGCCTGTGACTCACTCTGCAGACTGGGCTGGCTTCGAACTTAGAGAAATGAGTTCCACCTGCCCCTGCCTCCCAAGTGCTGGGATTTAAATGTCATGCCAGCACTTTAAAAAAGTGCACGCTCAGGACACAGGCGGGTGTATCTCTGCTGAGTTCAAGGCTGCCCTGGTCTGCAGGGTTTCAGCTCAGCCCCGGCAGCATAGTTGAAACTGCCTTCAAAAAAAAAAGCCGTCTTAAAACGACTTGCCCACACAAACCAGATGCTTCTAGGTTTGGTTTAACTGTTTCTAAATAATGAGTTTAGGCAGCTCTTGCCCCTACATGCCCCAACTGCCACAGAAATGACTTCCTAACATTTTCTGAGCTAAGTTCGAGACTCGGTGGTGTTCTGACACTGGACAAGACCTCGAACAATGTGAATGAGACAAGGACTTTCCTTAGTGGCTCTTTATTTATAAGGTAGGCTGAAGCAATTGTTACATTGTGGAAGGGAGACACTTTACACACTGTTATTTATACAAGTTTAGAACAAAAACTGCACAGGGAGAGGTCAACTCTCAATACAAACTAACAACTAAACCACAGGAAGTGACCTTTAGGAAGGGTTCGTTTTCAGCTGTGACACTGCTTTTACAATATGCAAAAACACAAACAGAACTACCCAAGGCGTTTGTCACATTCTTTCTACATTGAATTTGGCAACAGTTTATATTAACTTTATTCAGATTATACTAACGTTTAAAAACTAAACAAGTGAAAAGCTGTACCAACGTACAGTTACATCCATTCCTTTCAGAGGTTTAAAATACCACTTGCATCTATTAGAATGACCTTGCAGCGATTTCTGCATTTGCAGAAACCATCTCAAGCATCATCTGCACGAGGAATGCATCAGCTACCTTGAGTCATCGAGCTTGGCGGGCTACACCGCAGGCACTACTGTTTGCGTATAGTCCGTAAAAGGAGCTTGTTTTTCAAAGAAAAGAGCTTACGTCGTTTCTAATAATCATGCCTTTTTTAAAGCCATAACATAAAATGTCCTTTGAGCAACCACAGCAGTGATACATGTCAGTATATAAACAGTGACCAGAGGAACGGCCCTCACATCCAGTGTGGTTATGCGTTAAAAGTAGAAGATCACGTCCTCGGCGGGTAGAGCCAACAGATCCTCAGAGCACTGAGGACCTGCCACACTTGTCCTGGAAACAGGCATGGACTCTCAGCTACTGTACTGCTGAGGGCCTGTAGACATTAGGGATGGGCATTGTAACAAATTTAACTTCCACTTAAAAGAAAAGACAAATCCATCTTTAAAACAAGGAAAAACATTGCCTGACTAGAGATCAGACTCCCAGTGACAGTAAATAAATCCTCCTCGCTCCGGTGTTTAGAAGCCAATCACCTGCCCTTATTTACAGACAGAAGAAAAACAAGCCCCCTGATTGGTTAAGCACATTGGCAAATCACTAGACTCCAAGCTGGTTACCCTTGATAAATCTGTTTGAGTTTTTTATTTTTTTATTCTTTTCTTCTTCAAAATATCTGGGCTTTTCAAGGTACCCAGCCTGCTGGGCACAGTTAAGTAAAAGGCATTTTCTATATCTAAGAATTCCCTGCTATCGTTTTTTTTAATGTTTTCACATTTTCTGAATTGCCTTACCCCTTTGGATGTATCTGGATTCAGTGGAAGTGAGTGTAAGAGACTGGAAAGTAACGGGTCTATGTCCACCTGTGTTACGCATGCGTGGGATTGGATGTGGGTGCTGGGTGCAGTCGGGAAGAATGCAGGGAGAAAGGGAGTCCTTAAAAACCCTATGGGAACAAACACTGCGACCTAGTATGGCTTATTCGGATGCGTTAACCATGAAGCTACTGGAAATTCAACCTACAAGGCTACTCATAAGTGTAACAGGATTGGCTACGTTGACAGTGTGCCCCTCCCACGGCCCTCCCCCCCCAATCCCAACACAGTCCACCATGTCCAGGTTTATCTTTCTGCATATTGCTCAATTGTTACTCTGAGTTTCTCATCCAGAACACAGTATATGTGAAAGAGGGTTTCACCCCTTATCCATTGTGTTTGTCCATTAAAGTAACTGGAATTTGCTTCTAAACTAGACGGCTACAATGCATCTACAAAAGCTTGAAGGAGGGAAGAATAAGTATGTAATCCTGTTGTGAAATTACTCCAGGGTCCCAGTCCCAGCCCACCCCCTCCCCTTTATGCATTTAAAATTTTACAAAGACTTGTAAAAAAGTTAAATGGAATTTGGCACCTTCAGAAAAATCAAAAGGGAAACTAAGATTAAAATATGCAGAAAGAAACTTTCAATATTTACAAATTAAAAGATCAAGATTATGTCAATTACATATGTTGCTTTTAATTCTTATCTAAAGATGAATACTTTCAAAAGAGCAGAATTCCCAATTGCCTACAAAATCTTTTGCTTGATTATAGACTGAAATGGATCAGACAAATTAGGTTTTATTAATGAAAGAGTTCACTCCCCACTGGCAGCGTTTCCCGGCAACTATGAGAACCTAAGAGAGGCGAGGGGCTGAGCGGTCATTAGTGGTCGTCTTCTTCAGTTTGACACCCCTCCGGATGGCGTTCAGCATGTCTTCTCCCTGAGGACTCTCTCTCGGGCTCAGGTCTGCAGGGTCACTCTCTGGAGTCGGGCCTGGGGAGACGGTGGCACTTGGGGGGTCCCTTTCCTGGTCCTCAGCCTCGCTCTCCGGAATCGCCTGTCTGTGCTCCTCGGGTATACAGGGCTTTGGGCCTGGAAGTGGAGGGTTGACAGAGGCTTGGCCACTCCACAAGGAAGAGGGTATGTTGGCGACACCCTGGGGCCCCTCCCCCACAGATGGAGACTCGGGGCTGTGCTCACCCCGCTCCTCTGGCCCATCTGGAGGGGATGGCAAAACCCCAGGAAGGTCTGGGACAGTTGGGGTCTTGACAGGGATCACTGGTGTCTTGATGGGGATGGGACCAGCGCCAATGGTCCCCCGACGGACGGAAGGCTTGGTGGAAGGGGTCCGTCGGATGGTGGCAACCCCTGGTGTGACCATCGCAGGTCCAAGGGTGGTGGGGAGGCCAGCAGTTGAGGCGGGGCGCTTGGCTTGGAACATCCGCCTGTAAGACTGGCCGATGTCGCTGTTCCTTGGAATGGTGGAGGACTTGTCAAACTCCTGCTGCTCAGCCTCCTGGTCACCGCTTACAGAGAAATAGTCATAATCTGAAACTGAGGGTAGGACTCGATTAGACACGGTGGGCAGACAGAGCACACATGGTCTCCCTGTCCCCTGCCTCAGTGCCAACTCCTACAGGAGCCCTCTGCTCTGTCCCCCGATTTGTCCCGGGCACCCAACAGACTTGTGAGCTGGGGAAAGACCTGAGACTGCTGGGCTGTGACAAAGCGGCCACCAACCACCTCTGGAAGGGATACAGAGGATGAAAGGAGACAAATTTGGCCAATCCTCTGGTCCAGAATTAGACACAAGAAATCTCACACAGACCAGAGTTGGCCTCGCCATCTCCCTGACAACTAACTAACTGCTCGAGTGGAGGCCAGAGAAGAATGCAGCTCCAGAAACAAATACCGACACTCATGTGCTCACACCTGCTTCAAAATGCACATCTCGGGGCCACGGGGAGGGGATGCTTACGGTAAGCATTGAACGCTCAAGTTTCTGAACGACAAATCAACTGAAATTTGAGGCTTGGGGCAGATAATTATTTGCTGGGGTGCAGTCTAGAGGGTTAGGGTTAGAGAGTTTAGCATGGCTCCTAGTCTCTACCCTTGATACCAGCAGCACCCCTATAGTTCCACTACTAAAGGTATGTCAGGCTTTGCCCGATCTCCCAAGGAGAAGGGAGACCGGACAGCTGAGGGCGTGGAGTTATAATGAACGGGCATGGTTACAGCTTCCTTGAAATTCACTGGCTCAGCTCTGACTCACGGCTTGTTGCAAGTGGCTTTCAGCCATCAGGGTGACTCCAGCCGTCAGATGTCTGCTTTGCCTGCCTTGTCCGTGTCGTGGGATGAGGGAGAGAGGCAGGGAAGACAGAGGCTTTGACTGACTAGGTTAAGAACTTAGGCGCTAGACTCCATCTCTTACGTGGGTGCCGTGTAAGTTCCTGAGCCTCAGTGTCCACATTTGTAAAATGAGGAGAAAATGTCTCTCCCGTGCATGACTCTGTGGAGCTACGCACACAGTGCAGAGCAAACGGGAAGCTATTACTGACTGTGTGCGTCGCATTTCAGGCCGGGGCGCACTATCCCGACGGTGAGAAACGAGCAAAGCTGCTCACGTTAGGGCCACTTCCACCACAGCAGCCTGTCAACTACAGACCACCGCCCAAGCACCCTCCAACGACTCCAAAGCCCATCTGCATCCAGAGTTACGCTGTGTACACAGCCGCCAAAGCCCATCTGCATCCAGGAGTTACGCTGTGTACCACAGCCACCAAAGCCCATCTGCATCCAGAGTTACGCTGTGTACCACAGCCACCAAAGCCCATCTGCATCCAGGAGTTACGCTGTGTACACAGCCACCAAAGCCCATCTGCATCCAGAGTTACGCTGTGTACCACAGCCACCAAAGCCCATCTGCATCCAGGAGTTACGCTGTGTACCACAGCCGCCAGCTCGCTGCCTCCTCACCTGGAGTCGCCCGCAAAGCCGGACGGCAAGCTGGGCGCCTCGTACCTTGGGAGGGGATGGTGTCCTCAGAACAGCACGGGGTGGTGGTCTGAGTGCTGTAGCCGCTGGAGCACTGCAGTGAGTCTCGGCTACTCCTCTGCATGTCCAGCTGGAGGCCCCGTGACAGGGCAAGCGCCAGCTCCTCACAGGCCTCCATCTCCTCACCAGGCTGCAGGACAGAGAACAGGGTCACGCAAGCCACTGGGAACGTGAAAAGCAGATGCACGCATGCACGTGCACACACACAAGCACGCATGCACGCACACATACTGCTGTAGGTGGGACCCAACATCACTCCTCTGACCACCACCGAGGGCTACTTAGGCCTGCATGGTCCTCTCTCAGGAACTACGGAGATAGCTGCAGGGCTATCTGGGCTCCACGTGCTGGCCGTGGCCCCCATCGTGGCCCTACTATGTGAACCCAACCAAACCCAGAGAACAGGTGCATCACCCTGGTGGCGGCCGACACGGTCATGCTCCTCGGCCTCTGCATCTCTTCGGCAGCTGCAGGAGGACCTCCTGTGGTAGCGGGTCCGCCCCCATTGGAGTCCGCCTCACGCTTCTCCTTGCGGCGCTGGAGGGTGTTCACCAGCGGCTGGTCGTAGGGTCCTGGCTTGGCCCAGTCCTGAGTAGAACCGTGAGGTCAGGAGCCACGAGCCCAGCCCGGACGGAGGGCCACAGCCACCCAGCACAGCTGCCCACACAAGGCACCTCTAGGCCCCTAGCTCCTCTGCCCGCCCACACTCACTGAGGGTCCCTAGGTACCCCCTGCCCTGCCCAAAGATTAAACCTGACAGGTGGTCATTATACCCCAAAGCCATCAGCCTGTAATAGCAACTGAATGACTGGGCCACGGCCAAGTGGCCACCAGGGGGCCCTGGAGCACCAGCGGCCACTCTACGGGGGCATCCTCCGCTCTGGGAAGCCGGGCCTCTCTGACAGAGGGCCCTAGGATCTGGAGCAGGTTTTCAGGACTCAGAGATGAGGTCACAGTCTGCTAACACGCTGGCAGTCCAGGGACCGACTTACCCTCCCTGGAGTCTCAACTGCCCTGGTGGATTTCACTCACAAGCTTGGTTTTCATAAAACAATGAAAACTAAAGTCTTCGTCTACTACTGAGCGACAGCATATATACGACCCAAAGCATACTATGGGCTGCGGCTGTCGGGTCACGTTGGGCCCAGGGAAGCACGCTGTAGGTGGCCCAGGAGGGAGCTAGGCCAGCAGGCTCCGCCCTGATGCAGGGCCCGGCCTCGTGCTCCTTAGCAGGCGCCCCTGACCCCCGAAGTTCTCTACAGGAACGCGGGTTTCAGTTCCACGTGGACAGCTGGTTTCTGTTGCCCCACCCACCCCAAGGGGGCCTCCTGAGGAAGAGGGGGTGTGGGGAAGAAGGCAGAGTGTGAAGAGAGGCAGGGGAGAGTCCAGGGAGGCTGGCAGGACAGAAGGGGGCGGGCAGAGAAGCGATTGGGGGGGGGTGGAGGGGGGACACAAACCTTCCAGCTAGGGATCTGAGATGATGGGAGCATGCCGGGCCCGATGGTGTAATAATGAGCATTGTCAGGAAGGTGAACAGAGGTCACCCGCGGGAGCAGGCGGGACGCAGGCAGGCAATGGGGGACGGGCCCTGCATGGGACTCACTTGATAAGCTACCGTGAGAAAACCCGTTAGAGAACTGGAAACAAAACACACGGGACGGGAGGAGAAAAGGAACAAATTAATATAACAGGATGAGCGTAGAGACACAAGATGGCGCTGACACCGAGGGGGGGAGGGGGAAACCTGAATATTTACAAGCCAGACCAACACGGGCACTCTCCTGCCTGTGGATGGCGCAAGAAGAGTCAGCGTGCAAAGGACGCATCAACCTGGCGCCCAGGAAGTATTCCGTCAGGCGGATATCCGAGCTGGGTATTAAGACAGTTCAGAAACCGACCATTATCCTGATCTGCAACGTTCTCGGTGTTGTAATTCTTTTAAACTAGTGAAGCACAGCTTCGCTTTTCCGGGGATCGGCTCGTTCCGTTACACAGACGTTTGCAGATTTCTCAAGTGAATCAGTTCATTCTAGGTTTCCCAGTCATCACACTGCAGTGTGGGGGAGGGGTGGGAGGAGGGAATGTCAAATGAAAACGCAGGAAAGTGCATGTCTCCAACACAGTGAGATGTGACATCCAGCAGTCTCGAGGGATGTTCGGGAAGGAAGAGGGGGGAACGAATGAACGAACACAGAGCCTGCTCTGGGAAGAAGAAGCCTTCATGTCTCCAAGTTCCCCAGACCCCCTTCCTCTCCCTCACTAGCCACGCGGGGCAGCCAGGGAGCCCTGGGCCTGCTCAGCTCCTGTCCCCAGAGGGCCCAGCTTTTCCAGGTGCCAATGGCTGTGTGCGGCAGGCAAGGGGCGGGTCAGGAAGAACAGCCCACCACGGCCTGGGCCCTGGCCAGTCACCTTCTCTGCGGGCACCCAGGCGCCCATGGTGGACCCTGAGCTGACTGAGGTCGGGGAGCTGCACTCGCTCACTGACTGGCAGGTTTCCGACGCTTCTGAGGAGGCCGAGCTGGATGAGTTCTGTAGCAGGGAGGAGCCACACGAGGGGACCAACCAATGAGACCGCGGGGTCACCAGAAATCATAATTAAAATAAAGGGAGGACAGGGCGGGAAGGGCACGGACAGACAGACAGACACACACACAGAGGAGGGAGGGATGAGAGGCAGAGGGTCAGTTAAGGCTTGGTTTTCACCCACACAGGTTTTAAGAAAGCCCCTGAAAAGGAAGTGAGGTCCAGCCACGCTCTGGCCCTGCAGACATCAGCTGGCCCCCGTGCCTGGCACAGGAACACTGACTCAACACAACGGACCTCCCGGCAAGGCTATGATAAAACCACACCACGGCTCAGATCCTCAGAAAGGACCCTGTAGGTGCAAGAGTATTGCACACTACACAAAACTGTCCCTGGGCAGGCTGTGGCTCAGTGGTGACACAAATGACTCTAATCCCTGCCTTCTCATCCGGTCCATACGGCGGGACCTCCAGTCCTAAAGACACATCGGAGGTACTCCGGCTGGGGAGTGGTTTGAGTAGGGAAGCCCTGTGGTCAGCGTGTGCTTCCTGGGGCCAGCGTGCTGCTGGGTGAAGCCTCTGGGAGGGCCAGGTGGGGGGAATGTCCCAGCGCTGATGGCACTATGTCCACGTGCCTGCCCGTGTCCTGCCCTTCGCCTGCTTTTCTGGCTCTGCAGTAGCAGGGACCGCTTGGGAAGGACTAGGGTGGCCTTGCTAAAGGAGGTGAGTCACGGGGACAGGCTTTGGGGGTTCAAAAGCCCCTGCCACTTCCAGTTAAGTCTCTGCGGCAGGCCACCAAGCTTCTTGCCCCAGTTCCTGTTGCCTGCGACCTCTAGCTAAACCCCGGGTTGAGTAAGTCAGTCAGGCTCTTCAGCACCATGACTGCCCCACGAAGTGTGCCTGGGTCAGGGGTCAGGGAGGTCAGATTCACCTCTCTATCCTTCCCAGCCACCTGGAAGGGATTCCTGCAGAGGGACAGAGGCCTAGCTTCCCACCCCGCAGGGTCAAAGGGCCAAATGCACACTTGGTGTCTTGTTCTCGGGCCACGGTCAGAAAAGTAAAGGTTCGGGTTAATGCTCGTCTCTACCGATTCTCAGCTGTGGAGCTGGGGATGTCAAGCTCTGAGTCCCAGTGCCGTTCACCTGGCTAAGGGGATCAACAGTAGCTAACCACACCACAGGAGAGGTGGAACCCTCTAGCTGGTGTGATTGGGCAAAGTCTTACAAGTTCCTCCTTACTGTATGGTTACAAGCAGCTGTGTCGTCTGAACAAGAATAATTCTCCGTTTAGCTCTGCAACACCACCCTGGGGCTTATTATAGACAACTCCCCAGGGCCAGGGGTGTAAGACGATGGGGGGGGAGGTTTGCCTGGCATCTGAGAGAACCTGGGCTCCACACCCAACAGACAGAAAGCCTACTGTGTGTGCCCTTGTGTTCATGTGTGTGCGTGCATGTGCCCATGTCCCCATCCGTGTATGTCCGTGTACCTGTGTGTGTGTCCGTCTGTGTCCACCACGGGTTCCACACTCAGCGCCAACAAAACATACAGGAAAGCTACTGATGTGTGAGAGCCCAGCCAGGGGTTGATGTCACGTGTGCCCCTGTATTGTCGCCCACCCTGCTAGTTTGAGACAATGTAACCAAACCAAGAAACTGACTGGCTACATTAACTTGTCAGCAAACCCCAGGATCCACGTGTCACCACCAGCCCAGTGTTAACCAAGGTTGCAGGCACACACCACTTCATGCACAGAGATCCGCCTGCCTCTGCCTCCCGAGTGCCGGGATTAAAGGCGTGCGCCGCCACTGTCAGGCTGGCTTACCGCCTGACTTTTAATGAGTGTTAAGGACCCAAATTTGAGTCTGTGCTTTTGTGGCAGGCTCTCTATGGACTGAGCCAGCCCTAGCCCCGGAAACCCCACTCCTGGGTACTGGCCAGGCTGCTACAGGCTTTCAGGTTTCAGAAACCCCAAATTTACTAATTTTATTAGCTTCCCCCAACGCTACTGGGGACAGAAGCCATGCTTGGGCCACCAACAGAAGGAAGTATGAGAAGGGTGAAAGGGTTTGTTTTCCCAGGGCATTTCAGGGTATGCTAGTATGCTAACTTCCAAGCCATTAGGAACACACACAGCTGGACTGCACCCTGAGCGGCCTTGAAGGAGGCAAAGACTCCACCCTCCTCCTGAGCACAGGCTCTCGGCTTGGTCTAGTCAACATGCACGGTTTAGCGGCACACATAATAGGAGTGGGGATCCTGGGAGCCAAGTCACCGCACCCCAGCTGAAGACACGCACACTCAGAGTAAGCTCTGCACTCTGCCCTGGGCTTTTCCTTCGGAAATTGCGTCTCTAAGGAGGAAAGAGAGGGGAGGGGACCACCATGCCTCAGGTGACTAAATAATGCTGAAGAGCTTTGACTCCTGAGGGTTTCTACTTGATGACCTTGGCTGAGCAACAAGGTGCTCTGGCCCAAACCCCCACCCTCGCCAGCAGGTGGCGCTGTGGGACCCAATAGGTGGTGACACCAATCATGTCCTAGCATTGCATACCCTGGCCCTAGGAAACAGGCACCCTGGGACACACACACACACACACACACACACACACACACACACACACACACACACACACACACACACACACACACACGCACACGCACACGCACACGCAGCACACACGTTGGGCGCCCAATGCCTGCCAGTTCCTGCGTGCTGGGGCAGCGGGCGCACTGGCCTGGCCAGGTACCATCCAAACAGAAACAGATGTGGAGGTCACACATCCTTCCCTCTCTCCGGGATCAACATGTCCAAAGAACTGTCCACAGGGGATCTAACCGCCACTCTCACTGGCAACGCAACTGATGTGCACTCAGAGTATTAGGGAGGCACTGTTCAATGATACGCTCCCTGCCGATGGGGAGATGAGGCGCAGAGGGGTGTCCCCGTGGTGGATCACAGCATCATACCAGACTGGGCAGGCACAGGGAATCGGGAGTCCCGTTCTTCAGGGCTGTCTACCTACGTGAGATAGCTTGCCAACCCAACGCGGCATTTTAGCTGCTACTGGACGTTGAGATAGGTTTCCAGCTCACCTTAGAGCATCTTTCCCCTTGGGAAATATCTTAAACAGAAAGGATTTGGCTCCACCCCTCGACAGCGTCCTGGGAACCCCGTGTGCCCGTTGCCCCGTGGGTCAAGGGCATCCTTACCTGGTTGGCAGCTTCAGGTGGCATGGGGGACGGTGACTTGGACTGAAAGGCATCCTGGGATATGAACCCTGAGTCATGGGAGGACACGCTGGACAGCCTCACGGGAGCCTGCTGGGCCAGGTTAGAGCTGCGGTAGCGGTAATGCGAGCTGGGGGAATGCGAGTGGGAACCGCTGGACCGGGAGTCGCTGCTGTTGACACTGTTCAGGCTGCTGTAAGGGACAAGCAGATGGGGCGGGGCGGGTGAGCAGGGAGACGGACAGCACAGGCAAAGCAAGAGACCCTCAGCCCCCCGGAGAAGCAGAAAGAACCCAGGACATGCAAGACCAACCAGGCTGGTAAGCAAAAAAAAAGGCTCTTTTAGGTGAGCAGGAAGACAGCTGGGTCTCAGGTCTTAGTAACAAAGCTGGGAGACTAACTATTGGGATACAAAGAAACAAGTGGGGGTGTTCCCCCCCCGCCTGTGGTAACCTGACCCCGGAGCAGAACCCACTGAATCCACAGCACGTGACACGGGCTCAATCCTGGGACTACCCTGGTTCCAGATGACCAGAGGCCACCGGCTAAACAGCACCGGCCGACACCCGAGGCCGATCCATCCTAAGATGGACTCCATCCACCTGGCCAAACACGTCAGCAAATCGACTCGGTATGACCGCGTGCCAGCATCTCATGTTATTTTATTAGCAGAGCTGGTAAGGGGCTTGACTCCTTCGTGGGTGTTTCCTCTGTTAAACTATCTGTGGGCCGGGTGTAAGCGCTCCATGAGGAGAGCCCATGGGTGCTCAGGTGAACCCGTCAGTAGGGAGTAGAACAACGGCCCCTCCCCTTGACGCGCTCCGCCTGCACTCTGTCCCTCAGTAAGAACACACACGTTCCCTTGAGCACCAGAAAGCTGAGGGGAGGCCCCGTTCCCCGCGAGCAGAGCTAAAATGTGAAGGGTGGGTAAAGGACACCTGGGCACAAAGCAAGCCTCGGGAGGCCTCAGGGATGGCAAACCTGTGGTTTCTGATTCGAAGCTCATGCGTTAGGGGAACACACCACGTGGCTGTCCCGGGCTAGGGTGACTCAAAATGAATGGCCTGTCAGATATAAGGGAGCATGACTGACTCCGGCCGGCTCCCGTCAGTGCAACTGAATACAGCTATGAGGAGGAGGAGGAGGAGAAGGCAGTGTGCAGCTTGCTTGACACTAATGACTTTCCTGTCTCACACAAACACAGAGCCCGTGAAAGTGACAAGAAACCAAGCATCATCTTTGGGGAAGGCATCAGGACAGCCTCTCGCCCAGAACCGCAGGCCACATGTGTAGCAGACCAGCTCCAGGGTGAAATCAAACACAGCAGGGCACCGGGCAACTTCCTCTTCCGGCTACCTCACATCCCTTTGCAGAGTGGCGGCAAATGACATCTCATGATGCTTCTACCATCCAAGGACAAGATAAACTTCCCTTCGGCAGGCCAAGAGCGGCTGCCTCGCAAAACCACACAATGGTTCTGTAGACCCCAGGGCTATTCCAAGTAATCCTGTACTTCCTCCAGGTAACAGTGTGACTAGGCATTGGGTGTCAATGGGGGGGACTGGGTGGGGTGGGAGGGGACAACATTGAATAAAAACTGCACGGGCTTTAAGACTGCAGAAATGTGGGTGAAACATGGCCAGAAGTCATCGTGGCTTCTGGTCCAGCTACTGTTGCATGGGGGGGGGGAGGAGTGTCAGCCTTGGGCTTGCTGGAAGAACACTTGGGGGAGGTGGGGAACAGACAGACAGACACACTAAAGAAGGAGAACATTCTTCACCTTACCACATCTGGTTTCAAACGGGCCCCTTTTGGAGAACAGGCCTGGGTCTTGGTCACATTCACAAAGGTGACTTGGAAAGCATGCACTCACCTGCAGACGCTTGACTTTCTGGACATGGTCGTGCTGGGGGAAGAGGGTGGCGTCTGATACGACCAACTGTAGTCAGAACCTTTCAAGTCGAGAATCACCTGAAGGGACAGAGCAGCCAGGTAAGGGACAGAGGAGAGGGGCTTCGCGCACACATCTCCACACGCAGGATGAAACAGAAACGCCACCCTGACGGGGGCAGAACTAACAGAGAATCCATGTCTTCACCAAAGCCACACAATGTCACGGTCCTTCTGACCCAAGCTAAAAACTGCAGTTAACAGGGAGGAGGAGTGAGGAGAGGAAAACCATTAAACACCAGGAGAAAAAGAAAATTACAGCGACAGGGTAACAACTGCGAAAGCTATTCTTAGCACAGGCTAAACTCAGCAGCACCGCTGTAGCTCAGACACACAACAGTGGCTTAGGGCTGGCTGACCACACTCCAGCCGCTTGATCGTCAGTAGTCACTTGTGCCCTACTTGGCCAGGGCTACGAGCGTGGAAACCTCACAGAATCGAGAGGAAGCCAACCCTATCACAATCGTTTCTGTGCGTCCTCCCTGTGACAGAGAGCCATCGAGTGTCTACTGCCTGTAAGAGGCACTCTACGAGTGTCTACTCACAGAGTCAACACATACTCTAGCGTAAGGGAAAACTTTCACAGACGGAAAACCAAAGGGCTTCCAAGTTATCTTTCGGAGCTGACTGCCTGCGTGCACAAATGCACGCACCAGCATACGACCCATCATGTGTCCCCCGATCACGTCTCTTCCCACTTGACATTAATGTCGCACACACCAAAGGAATAGAGCACCTGAAAACATGCCATCTTTTCCCCAGAGGGAAGGGTTCCCACGGATGACTTTAGCTCCAGAGAGGTCTACACAAAACCATGACAACGGAACATCAGATGCCAGGCTCCTATGACAGCTCATGCCTGCAGAGTGCATGAGCCCAGACAGGGTCTGGCCATCAATGTACTCGACTCAACTCTTAGTGTCATCACTCAGTAGAGTGGAGGCTTGGCTAAGCGCCCTCATCTCTCAGTACCTCAGCATCTCTCCCTACAAAACAGGTTACGGTGAAGATAGACTAAGGAGGTCACACAAAGGATGTAAACGCAGCAGGACCCAGGCCAGAGCCCTGAATTCCATCTCTCCGATTTGTCCCTGACGGCGTGGTTCACAGTTCCTACCTGTTCACTTGAGGAGGGCAGTTTGTGAGGGTCCATGGTTAGGCTCTTCAGGTCTTCCGATATGGTCTGAAGATGGGTGATTTCCCCTAACATGGAAATCTCTTCCTCCTAAAGGAAAGCAATTTTGTGCATGTCATCATGGGGTTTCCCCTCATCGTCTTGTTCCAGCCACTTCTGTCTGGGTCAATGCATGACCTTTTCAACCTTCCATGAAAGGCACCCGAGACAGGACTCTAAGCTGAACATGACACGCACGTCTCTCTTTGGAAAGGGGAAAGGAGAAGGCAGTCAGGGGGACCTGTGTGCTGGGGACAGCATCCTCACAGTAGTGGACATTGCCAGGCCCACTGAGTCAGATGGTCTACCCATGTGTTTTCAGGGGACCCTTCCATGGGCTAAGGCAGCCTCAATGACTGACATGATTGGGATATTTGGGTCCAGACCTTTAGGACAGTACAAATGTTCGACAGCATTAACTGTCCCCCTTTCTTGCCCCCTGCCCCATCTTAAAAACTGGCAAGTGGAACGAATCAAGGGCTGCAAACATTTCAGTCACTTCCCCAAGTGCCAGCAGAAGTGTGGGCCCAGGTACAGACCAAGGGACACCTCACATCTGAGCATCCTACTGGGGTGGAAAAAGGCACATCAGAGACTTCAGGCAGCCCCCAAGAAGGGCTACTGCAAATTCGGCTGCAGGACGCACATGACTGAAGTCACTGAGAGTGAGAACTCATTGGTGGTGGCGGCGCACGCCTTTAATCCCAGCACTCAGAGGCAGGTAGATCTCTGAGTTCGAGGCCAGCCTGGTCTACACAGCAAGGACTATACAGAGAAATCCTGTCTCAAACAAACAAACAAACAAAACAGAGGGGAGGGAGGGAGGGAGGGAGGGGGGGAGGGAGGGAGGGAGAGAGGGAGGGGTGCTCCCTGGCACTTAAGGCAAACGCATACCCCAGGCTTAGCATTTTGGATTCAGTGGCTCTGGAGGGGGCCACAGGACTTTCCTATCTGGTTGGCAGCTGCTGCTACCACTTTAAGAACCTTTAAACGGGCCTTCTTTTATGTTTTGATTTTTTGAGATGTGGGAAAGGCAGAAAGGTGTGTTAGGACCAAGTCTCACTCTACAGCTCTAGGTAGCCTAGAACTTACTATATAACGCAGGCTTGTCTACAATTCCTAGCGATCAGTCTCCAAAGTGCTAGGATTACAGGCGTGTGCCACCACACCCAAATACGTGAGACCTCAACTCAGTAAAAACAAGTAGGGCATGTGTCCCTAAGAACGGTGATCAAGGAGTGGGCCACCCGGATACAGGCAACTTGATGACAGTCCCTGGCAAGCCCCTTCCCATTGCAAAGTCAAGCCTTCTAGAGGCTTCCGTCGACTCACAATCACCGGCCGCAGCATGGAGATGAAAGCGCAGAACCGACCACGCTCCTCGATCAGCGCTTTGCGCACGGCCTGCTTCTCCGTCTCCTCCAACAGCAGGTACTTATCGTTGACGTCCTGGAGAGCGCTGTCCAGCTGAGGCTGGATGTCACCTCTCCCTGGGAACAAAACAAAGCCGAGAGGTCAGCTGGCGGAAACGCCAGCCTCTAGAACACATTCCCCTCTGTGACGTCCTCACCAGAGGTAGAGGCACCGCTTTTCCACTACTTATTCGTAGCTCCCATAAAGACTAAAAATGGCTCCTTTTCTAGAAGCCTCTACTTCCCATTTCTAACGTCCGCAGGCCATGTGTGTGACGAGGAGCACCTCTTGGGATGACTTCCTGGCTTGCACCTCCACAGAGCCCTGTGCCAGCACACCACCCTCGGGAAAGACAGCAAGAGCATTGTTTTCTTCAGAGCCTCTGGAAGAGGCTACAGACGGGAGGTAGGTGAGAGGCTGGGATGTTTCCAAAAATGGACATAAGCTGGCTTTGTCAGGTCCACCCCAGTCAAAAAGCCTCTGTTTAGAAGTTTCAGTCCCCAAAGACAAAGGTGGGTTCTTCTGCTCTCGGCTCTGGGGCCGAGGAATCCTTGGCAGTCCGTCTAACTCCCTAGTGGAGAGCTCCAATGCCTTTCCGGCAGAAGGAGCCTGATACTCGGACATCTACAGTTAGGTCTTTGCTGGTGACAAAACGAAGGACAAAGCTATACACTGAGCGGAGCCTGTATTATCGCTACCTATCTGGCTACACTATCAGACCCTAGTTATCCAGACATTTTACAATTTCAGGCAGAACACTAAGCAATTAAACAACTCTGGAACAGGAATAGCCAGCTGTATAAAAAAAGTTTTATTGGAACACAGTCATATCCACTCACTTATATACTGTCTGAAACTTCTCTAGCTGCCTGTGTGGCCCAGGGACCAGACAGTACCGAGTCCAGAGGAGCAATCGGTGTAGATGTCACCTGTTGATGGGGTCACCGGGACCATGCGCCAGAAACCAGTTCCTAAGCGTCCATGCGGGACTTTCTCCACAAACGGTTTCTACACCCGTTTCTACACCCAAGTCAGAGACACAAATTCTAAACTCAGGGCAAGGTTTTGGCCTTCCCCTGATATCCCTCAGGGTATCTGTGTGTATACAGGAAGTGCTCAGTAAGTACGTTTCATAACTGCAAACAGAGAGAACTGTAAAGGGCTTCAGGGGTTATCCTAGCTGTTCATGTTGGAGAGGAGCTCAAAGCTTAGAAGTCCAAGGATTCTCCAAGGTGGAGGTCAGGGAGTCAGCCTGACTCCCTGAGAACTCAGGCCATCTCTTCATCCACTGTCTACAGTTGAAGACAACTGCTGGACCAGCTACCATGCCTGCCCCCTTACGAACAACAAGTAAGACAGTAACTGGAACGCACCATCTGATGCAAAGGAAGACAGCCCAGGAAGAATACCCCGGCTGTACAGATATACCCTGTACTTTCTCTCATAAGAAGGCTTCATTTGTACCCACAAGCTCAACAGAACTTAATTCAACTCTAGACAAAAAGTCCTAGAGAAAAGTAGCCACGTTTTAGTAAGTGTGTGTGTGTGGGGGGGGGCAGCATTTGTATAGAAGTCCTAAATAAGTGCATAATGGGAAAAAAAATCACATGCAATCAAAACCCACCCTTAAAAATGCTTTGGATGGGTTCAAAAGCTTAGCATACACAATGTCGTACATGAAACTAGCTCAAGTACGTAACGTAAGGTATATACAATGCACAGCACCTATGAACACACGTGGCTATGCTCCAACAGTTACTGTAGGTATGAACCTGCTCTGTGGGAAGTTTCCAGCGTTCTTGCGGGACCCACTCACCTAGTCTTCCCCTTAGTTACCGCCTAACCCTGCAGACACTCCTCTATTGTACCCTCAATGTCCTCATCATACAATGGGGCACTAGCCATACGTACAGCCAGTACCAGTTCCCAGCGGACTCAGCAGACAGGAAACAGCGAAGCCATGCTCCCGTGTTGGGATGGCCCTGAAAGCACTCCCTTCCCACAGACGTCTACCCCTGACTCAGGGAAGGAAAGCAGCAACCGTCGACGCTATGACAACTGCGGTTTCCTCGGTTTCTGGGGAAATGCTGGCTTTGTACGCACAAATCCGAGCACGGTGAGGTGCCCATCACTCAGCTCGCTGACAGCAAAGCTCTCTCTCTGCAGGCTGTAGGACAACCCGGCCCAACACAGGGCGGCTGGGCTCTTGCTTACTGTTTAGTCTCTTCTACTCTGTCTGAATAGCAAAACGGACCACACCAGAGGGTTCTTAACTTGGTGGGGGGTGGGAGGGGGAGCATTCTGGGAGAGGGAGCAGATTTCGGTGCAATGATTTGTTTTTGTTTTTTCAAGAAAGGGTTTTTCTATGTAGTCTTGACTGTCCTAGAACTCACTCCGTAGACCAGACTGGCCTTGAACTCACAAAGACCCAAGTGTCCCTGCCTCCTGAGTGCTGGGATTAAAGTTGTGCACCACCATGTACTTTGCTGTTGCTGTTATTGTGATTTTTTTGACCAAATATACTTGGATATGTTTTGATTACATGGAATACTTCTATTTTAATTTTTTAAAAGGCTGTATGTATGTTTAAGGCAGTTACTCTGTGTAACAGCCCTGGCTGTCCTGGAACTCTACCCTGTAGAATAGGCTGGCCTCAAACTCAGAGATCCAGCTGCCTCTGCCTCCAGAGTGCGGGATGATGTGTTTATTTTATTTTATTTTTTGGTTTTTCGAGACAGGGTTTCTCTGTGGCTTTGGAGGCTGTCCTGGAACTCACTTTGTAGACCAGGTTGGCCTCGAACTCACAGAGATCCGCCTGCCTCTGCCTCCCAAGTGCTGGGATTAAAGGTGTGCGCCACCAACGCCCGGCATGATGTGTTTATTTTGATTGTATGTGTATGAGGATTTTGCCTGCATGTGTGTGTGTGTGTGCGCGCGCGCTCGCGCGCGCCATACACATGCAGTACCCATTTCAGCCAGAAGAGGGCTTCAGAGCCCCTGAAACTGGAGTTACTGTTGGTGTGAGGGGACTTATGGATGCTGGGAGCAGAACCCAGGCCTCTGCTGACTTCTCTCTCCAGTTTCTGCAGAAGAAAAACTTTAAAATAACAAACTGGGCTGGGGAGTTGGCTCAGTGATTAAAGAACCTGTGGCACAAGCAGGAAGAACAGAGTTCAAACCCCCAATAAGCGACATTAACACTGGTAGGCACAGCAGGTCACCTACTCAGTTCCACACAGAGACAGCATCTGGGGCAAGCTCTCCAGTGAAACTAACCGCACAGACGAGCTGAGGTTTGACTGAGGGCCCTCCTTCAAAAGAACACACACACACACACACACACACACGAAAACTATGCCTGTAACTCTAAAATAAGATTGCAGCTTACACACACGCATACACACATGCATACACAAACATACACTACACATGAAAACTATGCCTGTAATTCTAAAATAAGATTGCACCTTACACACACACACACACACACACACACACACACGCACGGAAACTATGTCTATAATTCTGAAGTAAGATTGCACCTTTACTTCCTGTCGCAAGCTGCAAAGCACGTATCTAGTTGTCACCAATAACAGTCCCAGGTGTGAAGGCGCAGGCCCTCCCAGCACTCAGGAGGCTAAAGCCAGAGGATCTTGAGCTTAAGGCCAACCTGAGCTACAGTATGTGACCCTGTCTCAGAAAAAACAATGAAAATAAATAAAGAAAATGGGCTTTTATAATATTGTATCTACCTAGGAAAGCAAAATGAGTATATGATCAAATTTGGTAAATATATATACATATCTAAATTACTATTACAGTGAAGTTATTTTAAATATGTATTATGTTATAATTAAAGGACTTTAAAATTACAGCATATTCTAAAATAAGTAAAGATATAAAGACTACTCTATGGTTACAGTGGGAATATTTCTAGTCAGGATGTATCATCAGACTAAAACAGTGATTATTTTTTAAATTCTCTAACATACCATGTAATTATATTTATTTGACACACAGTATGTTAAACATATATATTAAATATTAAACACACATATAATACATAGATGTATAATAACTGCTGAAGAAACTGTTTCCAGTTCCAGTAGGGCACTGATTTTAACTGTGCTGATTTTAGTACACCTGTCTCTTGGTATCCCAGGCACTGGCTGCAGCATCTCCTCCCTTACCCCAGGCACTGGCCACAGCATCTCCCCTTACCCCAGGCACTGGCCGCAGCATCTCCTCCCCTTACCCCAGGCACTGGCCGCAGCATCTCCTCCCTTACCCCAGGCACTGGCCACAGCATCTCCCTTTACCCCAGGCACTGGCCGCATCTCCTCCCTTTACCCCAGGCACTGGCTGCAGCATCTCCCCTTACACACTCCTAAGTCCCTCCATCTCTAATGACTAGAGTCACATCCTCCCACAGACTTTAAACCCCCTTTAGACCACATGTCATAAACTGACACAAAGCACATGCATTAACAGTTACCATATTAGGAACCAGGGACAAGGAAGCGTCTGCAGACGTCCGTGTAGAGGCCAATCTTAAAAACACCTGCGCTGTACGCTGCAATCTGCGGGTGGGTGGGTGGGGTGACCTACAGAAACCCATCATCCCCTCCGGTCAGCGCTAACGGTCCACAGCGCCACTTCAGGCACATGGAGGCAGTGGCGCTTGGTTTTTACATTTATTTTTATTTTAGATGCAGGAGTTTTGTCCATACGCGTGTCTGAGTACCATGGGCATGCTGAGCCGACAGAGGCCACCGAACTCCTGGAACTGGAGTCAGAGAGAGCTGTGAGCCGCCACGAGGCTTCCATCTGCACCCCGTAACTGCCCAGTCACCTCTCCAGCTCCTGACCATTCCTGCTCCCGCACAAACTCCATGCCCTGGCTGGGCAACCACAATCTCGCTTCTAAAGTGTCTCTCCAGTCACCCGTGAGCCAGCTGCCCAGAACAGCCCGAGTGCTTTCCACAGGCAAATATTATCACTCTTTCTCGGTAGTTCCTACTGCTCTCAAGAAAGGTGCTACATCACAAGTGCAAATCCCCAGCAAAGCCGGCTCCTG